TAATAAAGTTAGTTACATATTAATATTTCTACTTCAATTCGTTTTTTGAAATATAAACATTTAAATGGTGGCTGTCATAACTTGATGGATTTATTCAAACATAAATTAAACACTGAAGAACAGTAAAATGTATAATGAATATGTTATATGGTGCATATATTAAGCAAAATGCCCCTCTCTAATATCGAATATGTTTTTCTGAGATAAATGTGACGTTACGTGACATTGTTTACAAGCCGTTATATTGACATCTTTGCGCAGCTTAAACACTGATTGAGCGATTACATGAGACAGGATACGGAGTGTAAAGTTATACTCATTCTTTTAACTTACCTTCGGATGTTTAGTCATGTTTATTTTGTGCTGAAACTGGTATTAATGTGGAGGAGACGATCAGTTCACGTGCACCTCGCGCTGCTGCGTCTGTTGAACTGAGGAGGCGCTACAGCGATCTGTCACTCCACATTAAACATTTATTATTTGAATACTGCAATACAATAGACATAATTTGAAATCTGAGGATTTGTTTCATATTAAAAGTACTAAAGCACAATGCTTATTGCGATATATTGGATGGAAAGTGCCCTTCAACGTTCCATCCATTAACTGAAAACAGGCTAGACTAATCGATTCATGGGATTTAAGAATCAATATCGTTCCGTAAAAATGAGAATCGATTAATATCGATTTTTTTTTTTTACCCAGGCCTAATGTTAAAGCATATAATGATATTCAAGTCATCAGTGATTGGTGAAGAGGTTTTGGCTCAAGGTCTGCATTTAGTCACAGCAGAGGTGTTCAGCTGGGTTTCTGCAGTTCTTCCACACTGACTCAATCATTAATTCTCAATTCTTTTTGAACCTTGCCTCATACACAGAGGCATTGTCATGTTAGAATAGGAAAAGGGTCCTGTCCAAACTGTTGCTATAAAACTAGAAGCACACAATTCCCTAGAATATCATTATATGCTTTCGCTCCAACATGACCCAAATTCCCATCATGTGACAAAATGCTATACTGTACAAAAAAAACTCCCACATAATCAACATATTTTGAACGTATCATGTGCTTAACTCTCATTAAAAAGACATTATAATCCAAAATCTTAATGGTCCAGAAAGGGGGTTGCTTTGCTTTATGCAGTCATTTTTCCTTTGGACTTTTGTAGTTAAACTTGACCGTGATGTGTTTTCATGAGATTCACTCTGCATGAGGGACTTGGAAAAGAAACCATTGTTCTTTGTTCATCATAACTGCAGTGATATCCATCTATGAGATCTTCTGTGACAAGCTGCAAGCAAGCCTGAGTGATTGTGAGCTGTGAATGTTCAACATCCGCTGAAGCTTGCAGATTAACACATAGCTCAAGAACATTCATTATGAATGCGTCATACAACATACTGATGGGAAATATGTAAATGTAACAAGATTATTGTGATTGTTTCTATTTGATTCGAAACTCCAGGAATGTAAAAATGGCTCATCAGCCTTGGGTGGACTGCCAAATTGTTTCCAGAAATATTTCAGTCTTGAGCTGTCAGAGGAAGTTTTGATCTGTGACGTCCCCTCATCGGCCTCTGGCTCTCCTCACAGCGATGCTCTGTATGTGCTGCCACAATAACGACGGATCGGACACATTGTGTCTGACGAGTGACTCCAAACCCTCTGCTTGATCCAGACTCTGCCAGTAGTCCTGCGGCCACATCTGGAGCCAGCTGAGAACAAACACACACCACCGTTTCACTCTACTCCATGTCTTGTTTTAAAGGGGTCATTGGATGCAAAATTCACTTTTACATGTTGTTTGAACATAAATGTGTGTTGGCAGTGTGTGTGTACACAACCACTCTTTAATGATACAAATCCACCCAGTACTTTTTTCAATCCCAATAAATCATAACCCCTTTCTCAAATCAAGCCGTTCTAAGATTCTTGTCTGTGTGATGTCACACAGACCCAAGCCCCTCTTACGATAGTTGATTGACACTGGCGTTTTAGCACAGACCCGCCCTAAGTGAGCTGCAAACAGTCCGCCATTGTTTCACCGCCGGAGCAGATGTAGACAAGAATGACTCCTAAGCGATTGAGGTGTTCTGTTGTTGGATGTAATAATGCTCATGGAAATCACTAAAACCTGTTCATTAGAAGGGGGTGTCCCAATACTTTTGTCCACATAGTGTATCATATATGATTGTAAAGACTTGTCTAAGCGTGCTTATGTATCATTTACTGCACAAGCAGTGATGAGTGTAAATAAATGGGAATTTTTTTTAGTCTCTAAACAATGACCTCATTTGGTGTTTTTAGAGGAGATATGACTCCCTGTACATACTGTGGAGAAATGGTGGGAAATGATGCCAAAATCACCATTGAGCACCTGAACATATCCTGTCACCCGTCCTGCTTTAAGGTACGCAACAATAACCGCTCACACAAATGACCTGTCTAATGTGTATGGCACATTGTGTATGGCTGGATGCATTTTAGCTTGTTTGTGATATGCTACACTGCTGTACTTGATATATGACAATATACTTTAATTAAAATATGCATTGAATTTCTTTTCCCCCCACCCCAGTGTGCTATTTGCAGTAAACCAATGGGAGATTTACTCTACAACATGTTTCTCCATCGTGGGACGGTCCACTGTGAGAGCTGCTATTCCAATGTGCTATAAGGAGATTTGTTACACTGCCTGAAATATCCCTCAACAGTATAGCTAACCTGCCTATTTGAATAGGAATTAGACTCGTTACTGGCACGAAACACGTTCCTCTTTATATTTCCTCACTGATCGTACCGCTGACATACCGTCTGAATATCATAAAAAGGTTTTCTTGTGCTATGAATGCTTGTTGCAGTGCATCTAGGATATTTTTCTCCAATTCTGTCCCTTTAAATGTTTAGTGAAGACGATAAGAATGTATATCTTTGTTGTATTTAATCATGAGAAACCATTTAAAAGCAATATTTCTGTTTTAGTAGCACTGTTATGAAAATACGTATCCTGCATCGATATTCACAATTAAAGCAAAATTCTCATTGAATTCAAGTCGAATTCTCCTTTTGTTTTGTTACAAGTGAATGTGCAATAAAAAATATAAATCTATAAATATCGCATAAGAAATACTGAGGTACACAGACATTTAAACAGGTCAAGACATAAGTCCCAGGTCTTTAATGATACAAATCCACCCAGTACTTTTTTCAATCCCAATAAATCATAACCCCTTTCTCAAATCAAGCCGTTCTAAGATTCTTGTCTGTGTGATGTCACACAGACCCAAGCCCCTCTTACGATAGTTGATTGACACTGGCGTTTTAGCACAGACCCGCCCTAAGTGAGCTGCAAACAGTCCGCCATTGTTTCACCGCCGGAGCAGATGTAGACAAGAATGACTCCTAAGCGATTGAGGTGTTCTGTTGTTGGATGTAATAATGAACATAGCATAGTTAGCCAGTTCTAAAGTAAACAGTCTGGCTCGTCACCCCACGGAAGAGAGGGGCGGGGTCAGCAGAGCTCATTAGCATTTAAAGGGACATGCACCGAAACGGCTTGCTGTGAACAGAGCTGTTTTTGACTAGAGATCGACCGATATATCGAATTACCGATATTTAAGCATTTTACAATAATCGGATATCGGTTTTGTAATATCGGATTCACCGATAAACGCCGCCATCTTGTGGATGCTTTGAGAATTGCGCGCAGGATCGCCATTGCACCACGGCGTCTGAGGGGAGAGGAGACAACAACAACGGCATGCACAGGTACTTGATTTGCTGTAGTTAGTAAACTTTCTTTAACATAGCCATTAATGCACAAATTAGATGCATTACATAAATGCCTGATATGCAGTTTATGCAGCTTGGCTCGAAGAAATACAGACGAACTCACGGAGTCATGTAAAATAATCCGTCAAGTCCTGTCCCAATAAAGACGTAACTTTGCATTAATTAAATAATACAGCCATGAATGAGCGCATGCTGGAATTAAAAGCGCTAAATTTAATTCTCTCTCTGTTGTCTATGCTCATCATTAGTCTCGTGAAGCCGCTTTCATATCGCTGTTCACTCAGCGTGTTGATGTGGTTGATGCTCAGGAAATGCTCCGGCATGGCCACCGCATGTAACTGTTAACAAGATTCACTTGTTTAAAACACCCCTAAATTGTATTAACATTTACTATATAATAATTATTTCGCTAATAAACATCTAAATAAATATATAACTCTATGGAAAATAATTATTTATTATCTCCACGATCGATCACAGTTTGAGTATAGTTCTGTGTAAATGCATAGATAAACTGTGCTGTCAGCAGGCATTTCATAATCTAGAAGTACAAAAACATTATTAGTAATTCTGATATAACATTCCAGTTGAGAAATGCAATAAAATACAATGTTTTATTTCAATATTCCAGACATAACATTAACATTATCCAGTGAATTATTCTTGACTCTGTAGCTATTAAACAGCTTATAAATCTACTAAAACCGTAGTTTAAAATGAAGTTGATATGACTCCTTTCATTTATTTATTTTCTCCATTTGAAAACATTAGACCTTCTACATTTATTTTGCTTATTGTTAATATTAGTGTTGCTGCTGATGCTTTAAGTAAAATGTTTTTTTATTGTAATATAAAGATTAAATTTAACATGAAAGACTGGTAATTTTCAACACTTTTTTTTTTTTTTTAAAGATGGCTGAAAGGAGGAAAAACCAAAGTGAAGTATGGACTCACTTCACTCAGTCATTTATTTACTTTAAATAAATATCGGTTCTGCATATCGGTTATCGGGTACATAAACACGCAAATAATTGGTATCGGTTATAAAATATCAATATCGGTCGATCACTATTTTTGGCAGGGTAAAAAGGGTATTGTTTTACACTACCATTGAGAATTTTTAACCAAAGGATGTTATAGACATTTCATGAAGACCCTAAAGAATCATATCAACGTGTGGAAAATGAGCATCCGATGTCCCCTTTAAAACAACATTCACAAAACCTTTGACTTAAAATGTGATGCATTTTAGGGTGCAATGCACATATTTATGAAATAGTGATACTTGAAATCGGTTTACCCATCATTTGGGTCAATACTCTCCACAGGCCCATATCCAGGACTGGGCAGTGGGCAGCCCATGTGCGAGCTGTTGGCCATCTTTGGTTGAGGCGGCAGGTTTTGTTGTGGGTTCTTCCTGTGCGCTTTCACTGCTGCCAGACGCTCGTTCTCTCTGTCGCACACAAAACACTCAAACCCGTTCAGGTAGTTTGGTTTACTCATGTCGTTGACACCCCACTCTCTGCTCTCCAGCCCCTCGAGCAGACGCAGGTTAGTGATCTTGCTGGGTGTTTTGTACTCCAGATAGCGCGAGTACTCCGCGTCGTCTTGATCCAGAGTCTTTATGAACTCCGCCAGATCCCGTGGAGAGGGGAAATCGTCAATGAGGATAGCAGAATGATTGTTCGGCAGCCAGTCGGCCACCGATGATGAGCCCCTGTAAATGGGCACACAGCCCTGGTGCATGGGCCGCCACAGCTTCTCCGTCATGTAGTCGGGACACAGGCCGTTCTCCAGGGCCAGGTGGAACTTATAACGACCGACGAAACTCATGAAGCGCCTGTCTTCACCAGTGGCTGTGCTGGTGTCCTCCAGATAGTCAGGCAGGGGTTTGTTATTAAGGCACTTCCCATACGAGTCAATCTAAGGAGAAGACAAATTATGATGATAATTTGGATTTTAAGACCAAAGTATACTTTGTTTTTCATATATGCGCACAGCTGAACATATAGCCTTTCAAAATAAACTCTTGATAGCATGCATAAACACAGGCACTTGACACATGCAAAACTAGAAAGTTTCCTCATCCAGTGTCTGCACTATTTCTCTAATGAGCGATTAAAAAATGACTTTGTACTCGTTTCTCTCTTCACACAAGTGCTCAAGTGCAATGCGGGCTTCTTTGGTTGCTGTGTCTCAAGTAGGGCTGCAACAAACGATTATTATTATAATAAAAAGATTTGATCATTTGCTAGCACCACACTGGAGAGCTGCATTATAACAGAAAATCAAGTTGTAATTCTAACTGAAAGCGACACTGACTCTGGTTTTCATGTTTAATAATACTGTAAAACTGCTTGATTTAAGGCTATTTCATAAAGTACTATATAAATAAGCGTGACGTGACGTGACTTTACTGGAGTACTGAACTGCAGAGCTCGTGCAAACATCCACATCGCTGTAATCAGATGCGTTTTAAACTGCTGCTTTCTCACCGCTGTCAGTTTTTGATGTGTTTATTTTGTTATTGAGAGGAAAGCGCAGTATATATTTACATATCCATTTTTGACTGTGAAACCATGGGCCAGGCCAGAGTAACCAAGTTGTGGACAAACTAATAAATGCAAAAAAAATTTAAAAAAACAAAAGCAATGTGTACGTGCAAGCTGCGTGTAACATACTGTGCTGATGATGACATTTGCATTGTGCGTACTGTATGAAAACAGAATGATTTTGTTACAAAAGGCTGGAACACACTAAACAAGTTGAAAAATCTAAATAGATTTTAAAACACTAGGTATCATACATTTGCTGACTTTGAAAATGGTTTCAGACAAAAACTAGGCATTATACACTAAATGACTCGGTATCACATATTACCAGACTTTCAAGTTTCATTTAAGATTTTATGTAATGCCAAGATCATAGGTTCGATTCAACCGGGAACGTTACAACTGATAAAATGTAAATGTGTACCCTGAATGCAACATAGGTTGCTTTGGACAAAATGCACACACACACACACACACACACACAAACACAAACACACAAGTCTGGTCAGCTATCCTTGTGGGGACTCTCCATTGGCGTAATGGTTTTTATACTGTACAGACCGTATATTCTATTGCCCTACACCAACCCTACCCCTTACAGGAAACTTTCTGCACTTTTATGTAATGCCAAGATCATAGGTTCGATTCAACCGGGAACGTTACAACTGATAAAATGTAAATGTGTACCCTGAATGCAACATAGGTTGCTTTGGACAAAATGCACACACACACACACACACACACAAACACAAACACACAAGTCTGGACAGCTATCCTTGTGGGGACTCTCCATTGGCGTAATGGTTTTTATACTGTACAGACCGTATATTCTATTGCCCTACACCAACCCTACCCCTTACAGGAAACTTTCTGCATTTTTAGATTTTCAAAAAACTTAATTCTGTATGATTTATCAGCTTTTGTAACCATGTAGACCACAATTTAGGTCCCCACCGTGACACGAGTCCCCATGAGTCTGTGTGTAGTCAGGTTTAAGTCCCCACCAGGATATATAAACCAGTACACACACACACACACACACACACAACTGTAATGGGATTATGAGCATTTTAAAATGTAATATACTCTAATTACAACAAGCACTTCATTTTTGGAATCTGATTACATAATCCAGATTACATGTAATCAGTTACTACCAGCACTGTATATATAAAATTATTATTATAATTTTCCCAGCATACGCTGCATGATTTGTAACTCGGACTGCGAAAAATATGCAGTGGCTTACATCTAGCAAATCAGGGCAAAAGTTGCGTAGTGTATGCTATGGCATTCTTGGCTGCTAAAGCACTCACCCATTTAAATATATAGTGGGTAAAAGACGCCGGATCAAAATACATTTACAAAATTAGAAAGCACATTAAATGCAAGTAAAGTGTCTACTTTAAAGGTTTCAAATAAGTTTTTGGAGAATAAAAGGTCAAAATTTGGTTTATACTTTCAGTGTAACACAATATTTATGTAAAAATTCAAATAACATTCTTATTCTGACCTGTACATATTAAAATATATAAAAGAATAAGGGAGCATATACAATTTTATTGCGTTTTGAATGAGTAAAAAATTCTTACTGACAAATGGGCAAAACCTAGAAAAGTGGAAACATTTTTAAATGTAAAATTACAACGAATTAGTATTTTGGGTGAAAGTAATTAGTCGTTTAAAATGTCATAAATTGATTTTTGTTGTAAATATGCCTGACAAGATTGTTACACTGGGAAGTATGATATTTATTTCTTTGCTCGGAAAAACAAAAACAAAGTTGCAATTAAATAATATTTTATATATATATATAAATCTCTTATAACAGTATTACCTCTATAAATGTCATCAGTTCTTGAACGTAGCGATCACGGTCTGAAGGCACATCACAGTGGGACTGCATGTAGAGCACAGGGGCCAGACCGGCCTGTCTCCAGCGGTTCTTCTCCTGCAGAGGGACTGCCGGTGCTTTCAGAAGATAATCCAGAGAGGGTAACCACTGCAGCGTTAGCGGATAGTCCGACTCCCTCCTGAACGTGGCTGTGTAGTTAAACAGTCTGATTCCAACACTGTGGGAGAGCAGGAAGTTATTCATGGGTGACTCTTCGTGGAAAAGCGCCCAGGTCTGATGGGCCAAACGTGGCAGCGGAGCCTCGTACGCCCGGAAGTCTGTGCCATAGAAAATGATAGATGCCGTGCGGCGATACAGCTGGACTTTGCGGTTGCTTGTGACCAGGCAGGACGAGTGGGCGCAGTCCACACGCTCTGTGTCTCCTGGGAAGTGTGGGAACAGATTGGAGCTCCACCACAGAAGGATGGGCAGCTTATTATTGGGGCGAGGGTCAGTGTTTCCAGGGCCGTGGTATGTGCTCACACTGGCAAACTCCATGTCAGTGAGGGCACTCTGGGGCTGGAAAACCCCACTGTCCCCTGTGTCCACTGGCCCCTGGCCCCAGCAGCATACTGGGGCCACCACAATAAGCCACAGGCAAAGCGCCATAGTCAACCTGAGAAAGAAAAAGACACCGCATTGTATCATTCTTCTGCGCTTAAAGGGATGGTGCACCCAAAAATGTTAATTCTGTCATTAATTACTCGCCCTCATGAATACAAAAAGTATTCTCGTAGCTTCATAAAGTTTCGGGTGAACCACTGATGTCACATGGACTATTATGTTCTTGGTACCTTCCTGTGCCGTGATCGTGGTAGTTACCTTGTGGTCTATGCAGAGTCAGAAAGCTCTCGGATTTCATCAAAAAGATCTTAACTTGTGTTCCGAAGATGAACGAAGGCCTTATGGGTTTGGAATGACATGAGGGTGAGTAATTAAATTACAGAATTTTCATTTTTGGGTGAACTATCCCATTAAAGTGTTGCAATGTGGTTAAAGAAAATTCAAGTATCTACACTGCCGTTCAAAAGTTTGGGAAATAAGTTTTTTGAAGAAGTCTCTTCTGCTCATCAAGGCTGCATTTATTTGATCAAAAATACAGAAAAAAAACGTAATCTTGCAAAATGTTATTACAATATAAAATAATGGTTTCTATTTTAATATCCTTAAAAATAGAATTTATTTTTGTGATGCAAAGCTGAATTTCAGTCGTGTAATGTAACGAAGTAATAATATTTCATTACAGTACTTAAGTATTTTTTGGGAGCATCTGTACTCTACTTGAGTTTTTATATTTCAGCCAACTTTTACTCCACTACGTTTCCTACTTAAAATGTATACTTTTACTCCGATACATTTCCCCGAAGCATATTCGTTACTTACTACAAAATAGTCAGAAGTCAGAAGAACACGGACTGCAGGAAAGCAGGTTTGATGAATCAGTGGTCTGGCGTCTGCAAGTTAGACTCACGCTCATGTACAAACAAGTGCGCGCACAACCACAGAGGATTCATTTTCCACTCAAGTCGAGTCTGGGGTGTGCGATACAGCATCGTCTGCGATAATATGGTAAGTGTTGTTGTAATGATGTACGATCTGACATTATGAAGTAGGCTATATCACCAAATCACACACACAAAGTGCACGCACGTCGATTTATTAGTCTATTAAAACCCAAAATTCATTCAAGGCATTCGAAATTGTAGACGGCAAAAATGCTTCTGTATGCTTTTTATATTTATATAATTTAATATAGTTAACTTAATCTATATCACACAAAGAGTACCGTTTTTCTGCAGATATCAGCATGAACACATTTAATAATAATTTTATACAAGTTCAGTAAAGCAATAAGTGACTTACATTTTAGACATAATATTGCTTGTTTTTGCTCAATTTTGCCAACGAAAATAGTTCCAAACAAAGATCACAGCCCTGTTTTGCGTCTCTGAACAATGGCGTTTACTTATTGAATGAATCCGCTTTTTGAACGAATCAGTTGAATAAATGATTCAGTGATTCACTCATTTACACAGTCAAATGCTTTGTTCCTGAATGAATCAGTCGTTTGAATGAATCGGTTGAATCAATGATTCAGTGATTCCTCACGTAATATTCTAAACGGTGACTTCAACTTCTACCAAAGTCATTTTCTGGTAAGATATCACTTCTGGCAAGATTCACCACTGCTGAATTTCCATGAGCCATTACTAAGGTATAAAGTGTCACAGAAATCATTCTAATATGCTGATTTATTATTAGAATTATCAATGTTGGCAACAGTTGTGCTGACAAATATTTTTTTGGAAACTGCGATACTTTTTTCAGGATTCTTTAATGAATAAAAAGTGAAAGAGAACAGCATTTTTTAAAAATATAAACCTTTTATAACAATATAAATCTTTGCTGTCACTTCTTAACAATTTAACACATCCTTGCTGAATAAAAGTTTTAATTTCTTTCAAAAAAAGAAAGAATAAAAATTGACTGACCCCAAACTTTTGAACGGTAGTGTATATTGTTAGAAAAGATTTCTATTTTAAATAAATGATCAAAGAATCCTGAAGAAAAGTATCACAGTTTCCAAAAAAATATGAAGCCGCACAACATTTTCCAGCACTGATAATAAATCAGCTTATTATACTGATTTCTGAAAATCATGTGACACCGAAGACTGGAGTAATGATGCTGGAAATTCAGCTTTGCATCACAGGAATAAATTAGATTTTAATGTATATTAAAATAGAAAAACTTTATTTTACATCGCAATTATATTTCACATCATTACATTTTTTCCTGTATTTTTGAAATCGATCTGATCCCAAATGTTTGACCGGTAGTGTACATTGAACTGTAATTATTATTAAGGGTAAAAATAAAGGGCCTGCCCGATGTGAAAGCATGAAGGATGCGCAAAATAGTCGAGGGAACTGTCGGTCGGTCTTGTGCTGCATCGTCAAGAAAATGTACTCGCACGCCGTCTAAAGCCTGGTTTAAGCACTGCACGAGACCTCGACTGCAGCCGAAATCACACACTCTCCGAGTAGCTCTTCTTTTGAAGAAGTAATTACTTGGCAACCATTAAAAATATGTTCTATATAGTATGAATGTAATCCAGATGTACTGCATTCGTCATGTTGTCATTATTGTCACAGTTGTGTCGCGTCACTGCCATTCACAAATCCTCTCCCGTTGCCTCATGGGATAGTTTGTTTGTTTGTGTTTAACGCCATGCCAGCTTCTGTGGCTATTTGCATGGTGAGAAAATGTATGGCTAAATTATATCAGATTTTTTTACAATTTATTTTCACTAAAAACTAAATGTAAATGTAAAAGTAAAACTGTATTTGGCTTAACTCTGTAAAAAGCTCCTCAAAAGAGTTAACTGATTAAAAATAAGTTCTCCCAGGGTTAAAGCCAGCACAATCTAATAAAACATGTTTCAAGGATAAAGGGATTCGGCAGAGAGAACATGTTGGAGGATCTTCTCCTAATATTAAAAACTTGTGTGCCATCCTGGAATGACCTATTCTACAGCGGGTATAAATAATCTGGCTGGAAAATTGCCTTATGGGATAGTAATGTGTTCATCAGGTGCGCACTTCAGAATCTTGCCTGAAATGGTACATCATCCAAGGACTTTTTGCCTACCATTTCATGAATACTGTGAATTCGGACATACTACTCCGTTCACATACATTTTTTTTCTCCTACTATATAGTAGGGAAGTATGTGATTTGGGATGCAGCCCTCATTTCCCAGCAGGTACAAATACACTACGAATATAACTGCACTACACTGACGGTGACGGTGACAGACAGTGCTAAACCTCATAAGACGACATTTGCATTGATGGACAAAAATAATTGCCTGATTTTGTAAATGTGGGAAATTACATTTGAATTAGACATGCAGTTTGTGCTTGTGTTAATTGCTTGCACGTACAAAATGAGCCTACAATACCAGAAATAAGCCTGTTTAATGAACGTAAAGACCCATGTTTATTAAAAATGTTAATGAAATGAAAATGCTTAATAAATATTTAAGAGAATGTTCCCATATATACAAACCCGATTCCAAAAAATTTGGGACACTGTACAAATTGTGAATAAAAACAGAATGCAATGATGTGGAAGTTTCAAATTTCAATATTTTATTCAGAATACAACATAGATGTTAGAATGTCAAGTAATAAGAGGTACAAATTATGTAAGACTTCAGTCTTTGCTAGTAGCCACATAAAGAGAAATGTTGATTAATGTCAAACAACAAAAGACAGAGAAAAATCACTCACTGCTCTTGATTGAATCACTTTAGTAGATTAATGTACATTTAATTTATACAGTGAAGTTAATTTATACAAACTGCCTGAAAAACACTATTTAATTTGTATCTTTGTTCTGCATTTACTTCTGCTATTTGTTGTAATTAGTTTATTTTATTATTGACTGTTTACTTTTCTTTAATAATGTTTGTATTTTATTAGTTAGGCTAGCGGTTTTTGTTTCTGTGGTTTCAAAAAATTGATTGAGAATGCCATAATTTCACTGGAATCTAAAATGTTGCTGTCTTAACAACAACAATAACAAAACACTGTAAAAAAAAAAAAAAAAAAAACTGTGACATTTACGGTAAAACACCGGCAGCTGTGGTTGCCAGAACCTCACCATTAAAAATATGGTAGCTACATCTTAGGTTTTACAGACTTAACTTAAATTCACAATAAAATACCGTATTTCTTTAACTGATGTAATGTTAATAAACCAACATATTGAAGTGTTAATATCTGTTTTGAACCATTGTAATGCACTGATAACCACCAGAAACTGGTGGTGATGGGAAAGTCACATGATGAACCAAAGCTCATCACAAACAGCTTCTCTACGAGCTGCAGAGGGCAATACTTATATACAGAAGGTGCACACAGTGTCATTCACACAAACACTAAACCCCATCACGGTGACACACACGATACTGAAATAATGCAATAAACATTAATTTAACAACATTAGATGTAAGATTAAACCCTAATGTACACAACTCATTAAAAAAAAAAACTAAGAAGAAACAGTTATTTCAACAACAACAAAAAAAACATCAAAACATTAATTTAACAACATTACATGTAAGATAAAACCCTAATGTACACAACTCATTAAAAAAAAAACTAAGAAGAAACAGTTATTTCAACAACAACAAAAAAAACATCAAATATGAAGCGTCACGCAGGGAACTCTGGGAGTGTCAATTTATGTTTTTTCGCTGTAAATTATACAATGACTTTTTATTTTTCACTTTCAAAAACTATTTCTAACAGTAATTTACTGTAAAATTACATTAAACGTAAATACCGTATTGACCCGAATATAAGACGATGCTTTTTTCTTGGAAATGCGTCTGAAAAAACGCGGTCGTCTTATATTCAGGGTCTAGACTTTGACATGTCGATAATACACCCACAACAATAGGTGGCGCCAAATACGCATGAAACCAGTGTGCCGTGAAATACAGTAATGTGATGCATGTTGTAAAGATGGCGAGTAAAAACAAAAGAGAAAGAAAAGCTTACAGCTGCATGAGTCGTGACTGATGGGACCAAACTCTTTCATCTTTTCATCTCCCAGATTTGAAGACTACGGTAAGATTTAACTTCTACTGTTAATAAGATTGTGGTGGGCTACTATTAGACGGATAGCCTAAATGTCCTAATTCAGACGGGCTACCGTTTTTTTTTGTTTTTTTTAATGGTATATCAAAAAGTGTATATATTTTAAATGTGATTGTTGGTACATTTGACCAGTTTTTACCATACTTTCAAAACAAAAATTAGACTTTGACATGTCGATAATACACCCACAACAATAGGTGGCGCCAAATACACATGAAACCAGTGTGCTGTGAAATACAGTAATGTGATGCATGTTGTAAAGATGGCGAGTAAAAACTAAAGAGAAAGAAAAGCTTACAGCTGCATGAGTCGTGACTGATGGGACCAAACTCTTTCATCTTTTCATCTCCCAGATTTGAAGACTACGGTAAGATTTAACTTCTACTGTTAATAAGATTGTGGTGGGCTACTATTAGACGGATAGCCTAAATGTCCTAATTCAGACGGGCTACCGTTTTTTTTTGTTTTTTTTAATGGTATATCAAAAAGTGTATATATTTTAAATGTGATTGTTGGTACATTTGACCAGTTTTTACCATACTTTCAAAACAAAAATTTAAATAGGAAAAATATGCAATACGAAAATAATTGAAGACAAAATGTTTTTTACGGAGAAAAAACAAGATTTTTTTTTTTCTTTTTTTTTAAAAAAAAAAGCCTTTTTCCAAAAGGTACATCTGGAAAAGGGGGGGTCGTCTTATAATCTGATATCCGGGCCACTACGGTACATTTCTTCACCGTATATAGTATGGAAACCAATTAACAGGTTTTTACTGTTAAAATCACAATCAGTTTTTAGTGTAGGGTTACATGAATCAAAAACAAAAGTGTATTTATTTTTAATGAATTTATTTATTTTAGTTTTAATTTTATCCATCTATCTATCTACCTACATAAATATAAAATGTATTTACTTTTACATTTTTGTTATTATTATTTATTTATTTTTGCAGGGTCAAACATTTTAACACAGCAAGAACACATCTGAACATCTAGGTGGATAAAAATGCCCTGCAAACTATACAGAACATTTAGTTGCATGTGCAGTAATACATTTGAAGTAAACAAAAAGAAACATAAACAGCATTTTGGGCGTTGTGGTCTCAAACCTTAGCAGGTCTAACTAGACATCAATTTTGCTCGCCATATTAGCAACAGCTAGTCACCAGCCTTGTTCAGCAGCACTGCTGCCCATCATATGCACCTATTATATCCAGAAATGCACGTACGGCGCACACTATGTTTGAAGCACAGCCGCTTATGTGCCGTACAGCATGATGTGACAGCACACTAGCTTACCTCAGGGCTCAGGACAGACTGTACTGCTGCATCTGCGCTGTTTTTCCTCGCCGCTGTCCTGCAGCACTGGATCCGACCGACGCAAGCCTCCTGCTTTGAGGAATGCCGGCGGGAAAAATCGAGCATTACTGCCACCTAGAGTTCTGGATGAGAATTAGAAACAGAGAAATAATAGTTTTTATTATTATAATTACGCAAATTTATTTGGCCTTTCAATAGTATATGATATTAGTTGAACTTATGTAATTTAAAAAAAACACATAAAATGAGTCATTAAAATTAACTGCGCTTAAACACACTCTCTCTCTCGCTGTCATACACGCAGCGCGAGAAATCTCAGCAGCACTGCTCGCGGTACAATATGAGGTAACCCAGAGGGTATTTTTACACGATTCAAGTCATTTAAGAGCAAAGTGGTTATTTTCCTCCTGTGTATGTATGTTCACGTATGCGTAACAGTGCTGCCGTTCATTTAATAAAGCATCTAAAACTGCTAGTCATAGAGCTAAAGTGAGCTAACACAGGGCTGAGAGTATGTATATATGATTAATGACACCGAACGCGAACATAAAAGCATCAGCCGTGGTTATCAGTCATAGTACGAGCTAAGTTATGATGAGCGATAATGGTGAGAGTGATAAAGATAAACCTTAGCTTGAGCGCTCGGATGCTAAAAACACAGCCGTCATGCACTTGTGCGCATGCGCAGAGAACGCTCATCCGCTCTAGATGTGTTTACAACACATTTGAAATGTTTTTGGGCAAGTTTAGGACTTCTAAAACTGGCCTTTTAGTTGTTTTTTGTGTGTGGTGCCTATGAAAATTAGTCTGAACAAAAATGCACCATAGCCGCCTTATTACTACAGTAAAACATCTGGTGTTAGCCACAAATGATCACAAATATATATATATAAAATGGGTTCTAAACTGTCTGAAGGAAATCCCTTGTTCATTTATTATAATTTTAGAGTATTAACAATAATAGTAGCTGCTAGATAATTACAGTGATCCATTTTTATTTATTTTTTGCAAAGGTTGTCTTTATAATTATTATAAACATTGTTTGATATAATTGTTATTCCAATATATAAGAAATGGGTAAATTAAGGTGTGGTCACATAAGCAAAAATTCCACAACATTTTGCGGCCAAAAAGCACGTAGCACTGCTAAATGTGTGGGGAACCTTTTTCATCTTCACACAAAAGCGCAGATTGCACATATTCCTATTGAGATTGCTGGATTTTGCTTGCAAAACTGTTGGAGTAATATACCGTCAAACCAAAATGTATTCAGACACCTTCAGCATTTCTCACATCATATCACAGTTTATTCGCTATAGTTTAGAAAATAATAATAAAATGACAAGAACTGTGTCAGAACAGATTCATCTGGATTCAATGCCATTATGTCATTTAATGTCAGATGACTTTGATAGAAAGGTATGTAATGAATTCAGCTGTTAAATGTAAGTACACAATTAGATTATACCAATTTAAGTCAACCAATTACCAAGCAATGCTTCATTTTGTTCAGTCTGTGGTGTAAAAAGGTCGCATTACATTTACATTTAGTCATTAAGCAGACGTTTTAATCCAAAGTGATTTACAAATGAGGATTAGCATTGCATTAGCAATTAAAGAAAACACACTTAAGCAAAACATGGTCCGGTCAAAGTGTCTGAATCATTTTTGGTCCCAAATGTTACTGGTAGTCCACTGTATGAAGAATTTCTGGGTATAATACAGTTTACTTTATTTTGCTATCCTCACTTACATAAATGAACTATAGTGTCCTGCACCCACTAGTAAAGAAATATCAAAAATGATATCTGCTGTCTGAATAATTTTTGGTTTGACTGTAAGACATGTTGGAATTTTGTTGCAATAACTCCGTAACCAAGCTAAAATATTCTTGCTTGTGATTCACATGAGATCGAATTGTCACACACTGATCTTCATCTTTGCACAAGCATAAAAGTTGAAATTAAAAAGGAAAGCAGAAGATAGTCCTGTTTTTAACCAATCCTTGTGCTTTCAGAGAAGGTGTTGTCTTGGCCAAAGTCTCAGGGTCAGTCACTAGAGCATCTGACCCTGAGACCCCCCCCCCAAGGTTTCTATAGATATGGTGATGTATCAATATCATGAATTATTTGGGCCACAATAACCGTGGTGTGAAAAATCTAATATCGTGACTGCCCTAATATATATGAAGAGTTTATTTGCAAAAACCGATCACTCAAATCATGTTTTTTGATTATGTTATCATGGTTTTATTGTTTTATTGTGTTAGTTAGCTGTATTTTTTAGTTATTTTTTAACCTAATCAAAATAACCCAACTGCAGTTTGATTGAGATTAATTGGAATGCACAATGAAAATAGTTAAAAACGGAGTTATCTGTTTTTGCAAATGAGCTCTTCATACATGTATATACATGTTGGAATTTTGTTGCAATAACTCCGTAACCAAGCTAAAATATTCTTGCTTGTGATTCACATGAGATCGAATTGTCACACACTGATCTTCATCTTTGCACAAGCATAAAAGTTGAAATTAAAAAGGAAAGCAGAAGATAGTCCTGTTTTTAACCAATCCTTGTGCTTTCAGAGAAGGTGTTGTCTTGGCCAAAGTCTCAGGGTCAGTCACTAGAGCATCTGACCCTGAGACCCCCCCCCCAAGGTTTCTATAGATATGGTGATGTATCAATATCATGAATTATTTGGGCCACAATAACCGTGGTGTGAAAAATCTAATATCGTGACTGCCCTAATATATATGAAGAGTTTATTTGCAAAAACCGATCACTCAAATCATGTTTTTTGATTATCTTATCATGGTTTTATTGTTTTATTGTGTTAGTTAGCTGTATTTTTTTGTTATTTTTTAACCTAATCAAAATAACCCAACTGCAGTTTGATTGAGATTAATTGGAATGCACAATGAAAATAGTTAAAAACGGAGTTATCTGTTTTTGCAAATGAGCTCTTCATACATGTATATGTATGTATATATATATATATATGTATATGTATCATGATTAATCACATCCAAAATAAAGGTTTTTTGTACATATATGTGTATGCTGTGTATATTTATTATGTATATATAAATGCCCACACATGCATGTATATATTTAAGAAAAAATATGTTGTTTATATATTAAGTATATTCATATATAATATAAATATATACATAGAAATACATGTAAATATTTTCTAAATATATACTGTATGTGTGTCACAGTACACACAAATATATTATGTACACACAAACTTATTTTGGATGCGATTAATCACGATTAATTGTCCCGCAATAATAATAAAAAAAAAAAATATATATATATATTTATTTATTTATTTTTTGTCAATTTTGATTGCTTCTATTGTCCTCATTTGTAAGTCCCTTTGGGTAAAATGTAAATGTCTCTGTGTGTGTTTGTCAGGCTGCAGTGAAGACGTGTGGCACCGGGGGCAGTTATGAGTGGGAAGAGCCTCTTGTTGAAGGTCGTTCTCCTGGGGGACGGCGGCGTGGGCAAAAGCTCCCTGATGAACCGCTACGTGACCGACCGCTTCGACTCGCAGTCCTTCCACACCATCGGTGTGGAGTTCCTCAACCGCGACCTGGAGATCGACGGTCGGCTGGTCACCCTGCAGATCTGGGACACGGCGGGCCAGGAGCGCTTCAAGAGCCTGCGCACGCCCTTCTACCGCGGGGCGGACTGCTGCCTGCTCACCTTCGCCGTGGACGACCTGCAGAGCTTCCAGAACCTGGGCTGCTGGAAGAAGGAGTTCATGTATTACTCAGACGTACAAGACCCGGAGCACTTCCCCTTTGTGGTGCTGGGAAACAAGGTGGACAAGGAGAAGCGGGAGGTCGGCGAGGATGAGGCCCGGGCTTGGTGTGAGGAAAACGGCTGCTGTCCGTACTTCGAGACCAGCGCCAAGGACGACACGAACGTGGGGGCCGCTTTCGAGGCTGCTGTCCGGGAAGTTCTGGCCAGCGAGGACCCCATCGACCACACCCTGCTGAGCGGCTCCATCGATCTCCACGGAAATCGTAAAGTGGCTCGCTCGTCCTGCTGTTGAGGTGCCTCTAATGATGCGTTCAAGTCATGTCGGATAGATCGTATTTACGAGTTGAACGCACATGAACGTCACTACAAAGTCGTTATTATATGGAAGCCCGTTTCTGCCACTAAATAAGGTAATTGCGACATTTTTCTCACAATTGCGAGTTTACATCTTTTGTGCGATAAAAACTCAATTCTGACTCAGAATTGTGAGATATAAACTCGCAATTCTGAGAACAGTCTTTTTTTCTCCTCAGAACTGGACTTTATATTTTGCAATTGCGAGTTTTTATCGCACTTACATTTTTATTTATTTTTTTTATTCAGTGGCGGAAACGGGCTCCCATATTATTACGAGTGGGAAACTAAAAATGTTTTTTACGCCCAGAGTTTCCGAGTTGTGGGCGTGTCAGTGAAAAAAACGTGTCGGGTGCAATGGACGCAGCCAAAGACTATAGATACGCAGCGTCTGTATAGCTTGTTTGCAATCACGTGATTCTGATGAGGTGTGAAATGCAGCTGGAGGGCAGGAAGTGATTTGTCTCTATAGGAATCACTAGCAGAAACTTAAAATGCCTGTGCTTTGCGTTATTTATGGATGCTCAAATCGATCAAACCGAGAAAACACAAGGAGCTTTTATCGTGTACGAAAATGTGTTGTTCATAAGGCAAGAAATTGACTGAAAAATGCAGGAAAAAGTGGTTTGTAAACTTGCGTCTGCAGTCGGGAGGAATCGAGTCGGATAATGCTCATGTGTGCAAATGGTTAATATAAGAAATAATAAGATATTAATAAAGAAATATATAAATAGATACAGGGTGACACAGTCAGAATTCACTCAATGCTAAATGCTCATCCCTCATACAAATATGGGGTTCACTCTCGAAATAGCTTGTTTGCAATCAGGGTTAGTTGCTTCGCTTATATCCACTGCAGGCAAGTATTTCAATTTAGTTAAATAAATCGCTCCTCTTTATAACATAGGGATCACATCCAACATGCGTTGTGTTTTTCTGTTTATACCTTTCTCTTGTAATAGTGTCTAAACCAGTACAGTACGGACTTTCCTCCATCTCATCCTTTTTCATTCACTCCTGAAACTTTGCTGCATGTACAGGGTTTGTGGCTGTTGGTTCTGTTCTCTTTTATTCAAATTCTGAATTGATTATAGCCTAGAAAGCGAGCAAATAGCGCTTCCATATAATCACTAAAAAGCTGTCACTCTCTTCAGTTTATCGCAATCTCAGTGTTCCGTTATAATGAAATTCTGACTGCGTCACGCTGAATGTGTGAGACTTGGCAGCCCTGGATTATATATTTCTTTATTAATATCTTAATATATTATTATACCTTATATTAACCATTTGCACACACAAGCATTTGCACACACTTGACTCCTGACCGCAGACGCAGGTTTACAAGCCACTTTTTCCTGCGTTTTTCAGTCAATTTCTTGCCTTATGAACAACGCGATAAAAGCTCCTTGTGTTTTCTCGGTTTGATCGATCTGAGCATCCATGAACAACACAAAACACAGGCATTTTGAGTTTCTGCTAGTGATTCCTATAGAGACAAATCACTTCCTGCCCTCCAGCTGCATTTCACGCCACAGCAATGACGTCATGTGCAAACAACCTATTGACGGTAAATTAGTTGAAATGAATAAAATGATAATTTTTTTGTAATGTACAATAAAACTATATAAGTTAAACTCTTAAAAATAAAGATGCTTAAAAGGTTCTTCACAGCGATGCCATAGAAGAACCATTTTTTGTTCCACAAAGAACCATTCAGTCAAAGGTTCTTTAAAGAAACTTTTTATTTACCTTCTCTTCTCTTTCGCCACAAAGAAACTTTTGTGAAACAGCACCATTTAGACAAAAAAAGGTTCTTCTATGGCATCGTGAAGCACCTTTATTTTTAAGAGTGTACAAATACAAAACATTATATTATTGTATAATCAGGGGCGTAGCACCAAATGTTGGGCCCCAGTCACACAAACAAGGGGGTGGCCCCCTCATAACACAACACCTCTTCGATCATATTAATAATAATTATCATTATGAGCCCCCCCCCATCACCAAGGGCCTCTGTTACTCAGTTCCACTATTACCCCCGTCCAACGCCCCTGTGTATAATTACCATAGAATATATAACGATTCAGTTTACATCACCTTCATAAGTTGAAAAAAGCAAAAACACGATGCATATTCTTTATTCATCGTTTTGTAGATGTAGAGTTAAAAAAATCGTTGAAGTTTATTGTAGAAAAGTTTTCCGACCAAAGTGACTTGTCGACTCGTAAGTACGAATGTCCCAGGAGGACTTGAGCGCAGCATAAATGGCCCCTGGCCTTGAGGCTTCATAGCCGTGGACTTACACTCTCTGGCTGATACTATATGCTTGAGAGCTTTCTGTGTAGGTACAGAACATAGACTGTATAAAAACATGGACGTAGTGTCTGTGAAGTCACCCGTAGGTTTCTGAAGAACGTTTTTGAAGCTCAAAAGTGGGCGGAGGCGGTCGTCGCCATCTTGGCAGCGCGTCACCGCCGGATAATCGAAAATGGGCAAAGAGGCGGGAGCAGGTTGCTGAAGCCACGCCCACCTAGCTCGACGGTGGTGACAGCAGCGGCAATCCACCTGTCACTCAAGTGGCCACGCCCTTAATTATGCAGAACTTTAAGGCTTAATATAATTTAAATGGATGAGTTATAAAAAAATTCACCCCCCTCACAGTTGTCATGAAGGGCAAAATTAGCTATATAGACCAAAATAATTTTTTGAACCAGGCTGTAAACATGTTTTTTTCTGCTGTAAAGTTGGGCATTTTAACATGGGGAGTCTATGGGATTGACTCCGTTTTGCAGCCAGCCTCTAGCGGCCAGTCGATGAATTACAGTTGAAGTCACTTCCTTGTTGGCTTCAGAGAGAGAGCAGGAGGTGGCCGCTTGGTACAGACGCCAGACGTGTCTCGTGGGCTGCAGAGTTACCAAACAGTGAAGGCATTTTATACATATTTATCTCTCTGCAGTCTGGCACACTGACGGTTTCCCAGTCAAAGGCTGTTTAATTATAGCTTCATCATGTCCTGGACCGCAGATCTAGCCTCCCTTTATTATCTTACTATTGAGCTATTATGTTGTGGTACTCATTTTTCCAGATATTTCCAAATACATAACCCACAGAGTCACATATTGCAGACCACTGTTATCGGTAATGAAATATTGTTTGAGAGAAAGAGCATTGAAGGAAGGGTACTGAAAGAAGTAATGCATTTTTAATTCATTTTGCTAATAAGTTATTCTTTGGGTGAAGAACACGTTTGGGTCATATTTCACCTAAAATATTGTTAAAGAATATAGTAAGATATTACAATTTAAAAAAAGAAAATTAAGCAGATTTTTGACTGTGACATTATTTTCGTGATAATAAAACACATTTAATAGCAAATTATTATTACCGTAGTGTTAAAAAAAATCTCATGATCATTACTGTAACATTAAAACAACAAATACATGTAACTTTCCTTCATAAAGTATTACTTAAACTGTAGGCCTAAATGATTTATTAGTTATTGTAGCATTTGTTATATTAGCAGCTTCAATTTATGCTGGTTTGAATAATTATGAAAAATAGTTGTGTCCACACATGATGAAGCAATTATATGATCAGAAACCTTTGCACTCTTGATACGATAAAAAAAAAAAAATTAGTTTGTTGATTTTGGGTTGAAATATGACCGTTTCTTAAGTAGATCATTCACCCTGTTATGGTGCATGTAGTAAAACACATAACCTCAGACTAGCGTATTGACAACAGATTGTCTGAGATGCATCAGCACAGCACTACTTTTAGACAGAAAGGGAATTTCTTTGATCGTACACTGTAAAAAAAATTTACGGTAAAAAACCGGCAGCTGTGGTTGCCGGAATTTTATCGTAAAAACTACAGTAGCAACGTTTTAGGTTTTACGGTTTTTATTTACATTTACAGTTAAATACCGTAATGTTAATATACCAACCTATTGAAGTACTGAAATCTGTTTTGTATGTTTGTAATACACTGATAACCACCAAATGCAGGTGGCGATGAGAAAGTCACATGATGAACCAAAGCCCATCACAAGCAGCTTTTAAATAATAACATATATAGAAGGTGCACAACGTCATTCACACAGACACTAAACACCATCACGGTAACACACATGAAACTGAAATAATGCAATACACATTCATTTAACAACATTAGGTGTAACACACAACCTTAATATACAAAACTGAAACATAGTTATTTCAACAAAAAAGCATCAAATTTGAAATGTATCGCAGGGAATTCTGGGAATGTCAATTTACGGTTATTCACTGTAAATTATACTTTTTCACTTCCAGAAAACGGTATACTACCGTAAAATTAATGTTCAATACATGCAATGTCCAATACAGTTTTTCACCGTATATATTAGGGGAATTTACCGTTAACCATTTAACATGTTTTTACTGTAGCATTTTTACAGTCTTTTACCGTTAAATTCACAGTCATTTTTTACAGTGTAGTATCGAAAGATTAAAACTATTTTGAGTTTATTTTTACAATTGTTCTGTAAGGTACAGTGAGCTTGTTTTAGATGTGTAATATGTATTGTTTGATTTAGTTGTCAGGTTGTTTTGTGTGCATTTGAGCAATTTTACATGCCTAATTGCATGTTGAAACTGGACAGCAATGCTGTAGAGTTTGATGAAGAATGAAAGTCTCTTGCATGAGGAGCGGGTTTGTGTTTGTGTGTGTGTGTTGGTCAGTTTGAGGGTTTAGACCACATCTGATTCAGTAAATGACTCAGGAATGTGGCTTAGACAAATGCACAGATCATTTTCTGAAACATTCAAAAATACCTGTCTACATTTAATGCTGGAGCCTCTTTGGACGTCTACAGCAGATTTGAAGAGACTCGCAGTCACAGCTGATAAATTAGTTCATATTCATTGTTTCCTCAATGTCAGACCAATGTTGATATGAAACCAAAGCACATGGTTCCCAGTATCTTGCACTGATCTTTGACCGTGTTTAGAGGGCACTTGTTGTGAACGACCCTTGATTTAGTGCATTTATAGGTACTTTAACTTATTTAACTTATATCTTTTATAACATTGATTAGTGCTTTTGTCCAGAATATGAATGTTTTCTCAGCCTTTACTCTACATACTGCTGTAAGTCTCATTACAACTAGAGAGACCCAAATCTGTGGATTGGGCAGCTGATGTTCTCGAACGCTTCTGTCTCTTGCATTAATGTGTAACATGTAGCCATGTTTCTGTTTACAGACCTTTGCTTGCCTGCTGTCATACGTTTGTGACACATGTAAAACACAAGGCATTGTATGTTGTTACTTTGCGTTTGTTGATGGACATGCTCACAACAATTATTGGTACACTGTGACACTGAAATAGATGCAACACTGTGTTTCTCGAACTCAACCTGCTGAACACACAGGAACATATTCATTGCTAATATTGGAAAATCAGTATTTGTCTATTTACTGATTTCCAGCAAAACAAGGTACCAAACATTTGGTTTCACAGTGAAGAAATGTTACACTGTAATCAGAACTGTAAAGATTCTCTGTGTTAAATCACAACGGGATGCAGAAGTGAAACTGTTCTGGCGCGTGTTATCATGTTTCAGTGTTTCAAATGTCTTTTGATGAGTCAAAATGCCAACTTGATAAGCAAACTAAAGCTTTTCAATAAACACCCTGTTGAAAAAACCTGAATATGCTGGTTAGGTATGTTTTGATGCTGGGATGCTGGTTTATGCTGGTCCTTTTGCTGGTTTATGCTGGTCCTCTGCTGGTTTAAGCTGGTCCTTTTGCTGGTTTATGCTGGTCCTTTGCTGGTTTATGCTGATCCTTTTGCTGGTTTATGCTGGTCCTTTGCTGGTTTATGCTGATCCTTTTGCTGGTTTATGCTGGTCCTTTGCTGGTTTATGCTGATCCTTTTGCTGGTTTATGCTGGTCCTTTGCTGGTTTATGCTGATCCTTTTGCTGGTTTATGCTGGTCCTTTGCTGGTTTATGCTGATCCTTTTGCTGGTTTATGCTGGTCATGTGCTGGCAAAGGACCAGCATAAACCAGCAAAGGATCAGCATAAACCAGCAAAGGACCAGCTTAAACCAGCATCCCAGCGTCAAAACATACCTAACCAGCATATGCAGGTTTTTTCAACAGGGCAGGCGGATCTCATGAAGAAATGTCAATAGTTACATTTTATTTGTAAAGAAAATGAACCCTATTTTTAGGATGGTTAATGTTTTTTGCATTTAACATGGATGTTTGTCGTGGGATTCACCAAAGCTGTTTCCGTTCGAGCTGGTGTTGTATCATTCCTGCCACGGTATTTATGATGTTACAGGTCACAGGAGTATTGTATTTCATTAATAATACCATATTTTATGATGTTCATTTGTCAGTGTGACCACTCACGACCACGGTAGAGAATTGTGGTTAAGGGCATTACTGCAATGAATGTACTGACTAGCTGTCACTTTTTACAGTTTGATTTGTATAAGGTTGGTGCCCCAGTGTTTGTGTGCTTTGTTCTGGGTAATACTGCTAACAGACATCTTTAAATGGACTAAATGTGTGGTGTTTTGAAAGCAGGAGTTGTGTTACCCTACTGTTTCACGTCCTCTCCAGTGCAATAAGGAGGTTGAGACTTCTTTTGTTTGCAAATTGACTTTGCAAGAATCCAATGCGATGAATAAACAAACTGCAACAGCGATCATATTGTGTGGTTTATGAGAAAGTTTTGGTTTAACTCATATGCTGTCATAGTTTTCAGCATGTTAAACAAAATGCTCTTTCCTATTTAACCAGGTAACATAAATGTCATATAGTGTTTATTTCATAACATCAACTCAATGGTTTGGGTATTCTCAGAAATAACCAAACCAATTGTAGTCGGCAGAAAGCGTGCACACGTGACACGTCAGCTGCGTGAAGCACATAAGGAGAACAGAGACTTCCTCTCTGCTCATTTAACACTCGGCCAAAGAGCGTGTGCAGCCTCCTCTCCTCCTTCTCTCTGCGGTGACGCTCTCTGAAAACAAGCTGCCATGCTGCTAGATGCAGTGGAGAGTGAATCTATGAATAACAAAACACATGAATCATTGGTGAAAGGCACTGACCTTTATTTCCTGCTAAACCTCCCAGACGTCAGTTTTTACACCAACAAACTGTGCAGCCGAGCAGCAGGTTAAAATAAGAAACCTGAGCTGAAACATATCTAAGAAATACTGTTAGTGCTAATAATAAACCAAAGGAATAAGCCATTTGATGAATAAAAAGAAATCACTGATTAATTGGAAATTCAGCAAAACAAAGCGTTATACAATAACTACAACAATCTCCTGATAATTAGAGTTACAAAGCAACATTAACAGTTCACACGTCAATGGAAACTGTTATTTCACATTGCTCCAAACATGACTTCATTTCAGCCGTGTAACAAAATGGAGATATTTTGAAAAATGTTCATGCTGCTCTTTTTATACAATGATAGAAAATGCTCTATAAGCATAACATTTGTAGTCCGTATGACTTGTGCACCACATCTAAAGCCTTCTATGATGTATTGTAACAGGTTTAATATCAATGATGCCAAATGCCGAGTCAAATTTGAATACGAGGAAGCACAAATGGCATTTAGAAGTATGTTGAAGGGCATGTTTTTCAAGGGACGGCAAACTCAATTTCAGTTGTGTGACTTCAGAAGACTTGAAATGTCGTGCATTAGTCACACATTGCCTTTAGTGAGGCGATACGGGTTTGGAACGGCATACGAGTAAACGATGACAGCTTTCATTTGTGAACTATTCAGGCGAACTACTGCTTTCAGTCTACACTAAAATCTTGCTTTCACCAAACGCTTAGGTGGTGATCAAGCATCCGAAGCATATAAATGAAATAAACATCCTGAATTGGTTACCTTTTGTAAAGAAAAAAAAGAAAAAATCTACAGACAACAATCAAAATGAAGCTACAGCTGATAAGGCTGCCTTTTTCCGTTTTTGTTTTCTACCGAAGTGTCTTTTGCTCTCAAGTTTCAGTGAGAGATCCCGGCCACGAAACACTATTAGTAACGACATGCTCTGCGGCAACATACCTGCTCAAACATCACCAGCTGCATCTGTGCACCGGTCACAGAAAGCCTTTTATTCAAGCAGCTGGAAAGTCCCAGAAGCCTCTTTGTCAGTGGGCGATATCTTCTGACGCGTAAACTGACCCCTAGCATGGGTTTGTGCCGGGGCTGTCCTCTAACAAAGAAGGGCTCATCCATTGTTTAGGCCTTTCTCAGTCCTTTCAAGAGGCTGTGAGAAAAAAAGCGCTGGGGTCACGAGAAAACAGCACACATTGCTGTCTCTCTCCTTGGCAACCAGATGTGAGGGATGGTCGCCAAGGAAACCAGCCATCACCACCTTGAGATTCTTTTTAAGCATCTAAGAATCTTATGGTATGGTAGTACTACCCAATGATTATTTTTACTTTTATTTTCTGAAACGAGAATACATTTTGTCCAATCAAGTAATTTCATGGTTTTAAATGGACTCGTATGCTAGCTGTAAACAAACATATTTGATTAGGTATTTGATAGCAGATACAGAAAGTAAAACTTCAAACTATCCTATCAGATTTCTGAAAACAAAAATGAATGCATTCTTGACCTAAAAAGGGTAAAAAACTAATTAAAGATTCATAGCTGCCAAGTCATGTTGGCACAGGAACCCCACCTCAATATTGTAACTTATAAAAAAAAAATAAAGGATTTTCTTTGAGTCAATTAAATAATCGTGGCAGAAGCTGCTTGCTATTGGTCATAATTGAAGTTTTCATTGCGAATGCTAACTGTACAGTTTGTGTGCTGCTGAAGAATAGTCATTTTACTCTGTTTTCTAGTACAAATATCTAAACATTCTTGAATCAAGATTAATTTACTTGAGAAGCAAAATTACTTTAAGTCTTGTTTTCTGAAAAATGTATGGAAATATTGTTAGTTTTTGCTTAAAACAAGAAATATAATGCCACTGGGGTAAGAAAAATTATCTAAATTTATAGGGAAAACGGGATTATTTTTCTTGGCCCATTGGCAGATGTTTTTTTCTAGTTTTAAGCATAAACTAACAAAATGTATTATTATTTATTTTATTATATCTTAAAGGGATAGTTCACCCAGAAATGAAAATTCGGTCATTAATTACTCACCCTCATGTCGTTCCAAACCCGTATGACCTTCGTTCATCTTCAAAACACAAACACATGAGCTCTCTGGCTCTGCATAGACGGCAATGCAACTGAAATGTTCCCAGACCCAGAAACGTAGCAAGGACATCGGTAAAATAGTCCATGTGACATCAGGGGTTCAACCGTAATTTTACAAAAATGCAAGAATAATTTTTGTGTGAAAAGAAAAGAAAAATAACAACTTAATTCAACAATTCTTCTCCTCCATGTCTTCCGCCATTATGGAGAGTATCACAACGCATGCATTTGAATTGTTTACATGCAGAGGTGCTCTCGATAATGATGGAAGACGTGATTTGGAGGAGAAGAAATGTTGAATAAAGACGTTTTTTTGGGGGGGGGGGGGGTTTGCGCACAAAAAGTATTCTTGCAGTTTTGTAAAATTATGGTTGAACCCCTGATGTCACATGGTCTATTTTACTGATGTCCTTGCTACGTTTCTGGGTCTGGGAACATTTCAGTTGCATTGCTGTCTATGCAGAGTCAGAAAGCTCTGGGATTTCATCAAAAATATCTTAATTTGTGTTTTGAAGATAAACGAAGGTCTTACGGCTTTTGAACAACATGAGGCTGAGTAATTAATGACCGAATTTTCATTTCTGGGTGAACGATCCCTTTAAATCATTTTGCTTCTTGAGTAATTGTATCTTGACAAAAAACAAGACCAAAATACTAAGCAAGAAAATCATTTTTTGCAGTGTAGGAAATAAGCTGCCTAGAACACGCAACTCGTTTAGGTGGTAACAGGCTTTTGTGACCAAACTACAAGATAAAACATATAAAGAATCTGTTACACACCCAATGCTGTTACATAATGTTTTGCTACATTAGCACAGTTATAACATCCCAGAAGACTTGAAGGCAGAATATTTCCTCTAGTGGTCGGGAGCAGTATATCGGTAGAAAAATCAGATGAAAGACAGTTTGGAGCAAGGATTCCAAATATGTAAATCTTTACATCCCCAAAAATCTAAAAGAATGTCAGGAAATTGTGTTGTGGAAAAGAAGAGGATGAGAATTTCGAATGTGCTCCAATATGGTGCTGTTATTGACCGTAGAAGGACAGCAGGACAGAACAGCCATTAACAGCGCGGACTGATGCCTTTCCTTCCCAGATACCGCAGAACCGCAAAGTTATAGGTGGTGGACACAGTGTATGTGAGCTGAGGAGAGAAAGACAGAAACACAAAATAATAAATGTGACCCAGTGACCAGAGACTATTCAGAAAGCTGTGGTGTTTTCGCAGTGAAGACCAAAACCACAGTGCTAGGGAATAGTAGGTGGTTGCCAAGGCTTTACTACACTTTTACTGGTTTTACTTTAAGTGTTTTTTAACGTTGCTACTAGGGTGTTGCTATGATGTTATGAGTGGTTTTTAACCCATTTTTATAAAAAAATATGTACACATTGCTATGTAGTTTGTGTTCTGTGTGGTTTGCATGGCTAAAAGCCGTTCACACCAAGAACGACAACTTTAAAGATAGCTATATTAGCGTCCACACCAGCGGATGATATTGTTCATTTATTCTAAGCACACACTCATCAGCTGCATTAAATTCTGATTGGGTGTCAATGTTTTTATCGATCATCTGCTGGAAAAAAAAAATGTTCTGAAAGTGATTCCAATGATATCGTTTATCTATGCCTTCATCGTTATAGCTGTGGTGTGGACTATTCTTTAATATTGAGAAGGATTTTTTTTTTTTAGAACTGTATCGTTATCTTTATAGTTATCTTTATAGTTATCGTCATCCTGTAATGAGAAAGTTTTGAGTTCTGAAACTTAGTCTAAAACGGCTTATATTGAAGGCAGTCTGCCAAAACGACAGCTTGTGGAATGTACGACTCTATGATGTAATAGTGTGGATAAGCACCGCCTCCTTAGAAGATGAACAACGCCTGCTTCTACATCGCTGCCTGTTTAACCCCGCCCACCAATTCTACATCACTTCCTGTTTAGCCTTGCCCACCGATTCTATATCACTACCTGTTTAGCCCTGCCCACCGATTCTACATCACTACCTGTTTAGCCCCGCCCACCGATTCGCGCATGTAGTGTTTATGAGAGAGCAAACACAGGTCTACGGTTCTGAAGACAACAAGACGCTGTGCAGTGCTAAGTTATGGAAAAACCGTGTTTGAGTTGCCTTCCTTCTGATCCCAACATAAGAGTGAATGAACTTTATATTTAATGAAGTGCCAGACCGCGTCAGTAAGAACTAGGTCCTCTGTTCACTTCATTTTACTGCAGCTTCGTTTGATGCGGGATTTTCAGAGAGATTGAAACTAAAAGACGATGCTGTGCAACTATATTGGATCCGACAGTGATGCCGCACCACACAAGTGTGAGTAACTGCTTTCATTACTTGGTATTGCTTTGTCTGTTAATCAGATCATTTGATAGGAGTATCTGTGTGTTTTGAACCTAAATCACAGCAGTAGTCTGTCAAACATTCACAAGCCAATCATAGCAGTGGGCATTTACTTCTGAGTCTACAATCCTCCATGCCTATTCAAACAGAGCGTTCTGATGAGGGGGTTAAAAACAGGACAGAAAATAGCTTATTACTTCTAAATTATGTTTTCTGATGTCAAAATCTTGATAACATTATAAGTGGACCTCAGAGAACAGTACAAAATAAAAAAGAGGCAGTTCATGACCCTTTTAAAATTGTGAGTTTTTTTTCTTTTCCACATCGCTGTGTTGCAAACCAAGGCGTAGCTATGTGATTGCTAAGATCTGAGCGATTCTGAGTGATTTTCACCACATTGCTATGCAGTTACTGCGGTATTCTGAGTTGTTGGCGTGATGTTGCCATGTGGTTTGCTATGATATTGTGACCAGTGTTGGGAGGTAACGAATTACAAGCAACGCAAGTTACGTAATCAGATTACTTCTTTTTCATTACCTTTTAATTTACAAGAAAATATCCCAGTTACTTTTTCAAATAAGTAATGCCAATTACTTTGTTTGTGTTGGGGAAAGTTACTTTTAAAAGTAATGCAATACAATATTGCGCTACTCCCTAAAATGTAACTAATAACGTTACTTTTTATGGAAAGTAATGTGTTACGTTACATTTGCGTTACATTTTAAATCTGGGTAGGAATACTGGATCTGTTTATGTGCAAGTGAGATGAATAAATGCATGTTCGCATTTAGTCTAGAACTACAGTAAGCATCATGTTCACACGGCGCACACACAACGCCTCTGCACTAACTCTCGATTTCTCTGGCGTTACTTACTTGAAAACGTATCTCAGATATTTTCTTGTAAATTAAAAAGTAATGTGTTACTTTACTGGTTACTTAAGAAAAAAGTAATCTGATTACATAACTCACGTCACTTGTAAAGTGTTACCCCCAACACGGGTTTTCATCTCACTGCTGTGAGATTATTCAAGTGTTACAATATGGTTGTAACAACATTGCTATACACTTATTACAGTGTCTGAGTGGTTCGCAGTGTATTGCTAAGATATTCTGACTGCTTTTTACTCCATTACGCCTCTCTAAGTTGCAGCCTTCGGTTTGAGAAGCACCCAAATACCTCTTTGGCTAAAGCACAAAATAGCACCTCTTGCGGCAATGCACTTTCGGAATGCAAACATACGTGAAATCAAGCTTGCCAAAGTATAAGTGTGCGTATTCATGTACATCTTTCCTGAAAATATCTGAACATCAGGACACTTCAAAAGACATTGTAGCGTCAGCAAGACTTTAATCACTGTACAGAGCAGTGATATCAAATCTCTAAGCTGTCAAGACACAGAAAAGATATGATAAATGTATTGCTGGGCCATTACCATACTGTCTGGCATCAATGCACAGCTGGTTGATGCTGGAGGGCGTCTCAGAGAGGATGTTGATAGTGTGACAGGTGTTTGCCATGTTGTAGAAAAAGTAGACAGGAAGCGCAGAGAGGGAGAACACCAGTAACCAGACCACAACCAGGAAATACGTGATCACGATGAACTGAGGAAAAAATATAATGCGTTTATCAGTTTGATGCGTTTGATTTTAAATGAAGAATTCACACAAAAGAAAAAAGAATGCATTTATGCATATTCAAGAGATGAATTTCACCATGTTAACACAAATGGTACAACATTAAAGGTGTCATGAACTGAGAAACCAAAATTCCCTTATATAAGAGGTTATTGTACTGTAAAAACATTCTGTTAGTTTCAGAACAAAAAATAGCTTATACTGAAGGCAGTCTGCCAAAACGACAGCTTGTGGAATGTACGACTATTATGTAATAGTGTGGATAAGCACCGCCTCCGCAGAAGATGATCAATGCCTGCATCTACATCACTGTCTGTTTAGCCCCGCCCACCGGTTCTACATCACTGCGTCTTTAGCCCCACCCACCGATCCTATATCACTGCATATTTAGCCCCGCCCACCGATTCAGGCATGTAGTGTTTACGAGACAGGCGAACGCGCAGGTCTACGCAGAAAACAAACAATAAAGATGGCTCTGAAGACAACAACACAAATGGTACAACATTAAAGGTGTCATGAACTGAGAAACCAAAATTCCCTTATATAAGAGGTTATTGTACTGTAAAAACATTCTGTTAGTTTCAGAACAAAACTTTCTCGTTAGTCTAAAAACAGCTTATACTGAAGGCAGTCTGCCAAAACGACAGCTTGTGGAATGTACGACTCTATTATGTAATAGTGTGGATAAGCACCGCCTCCGCAGAAGATGATCAATGCCTGCATCTACATCACTGCCTGTTTAGCCCCGCCCACCGGTTCTACATCACTGCGTCTTTAGCCCCACCCACCGATCCTATATCACTGCATCTTTAGCCCCGCCCACCGATTCAGGCATGTAGTGTTTACGAGACAGGCGAACGCGCAGGTCTACGCAGAAAACAAACAATAAAGATGGCTCTGAAGACAACAAGATGTTGTGCAGTGCCTTTTTTGATCCCCCCCTTATCAGAGCACTCTGTTTGAATAGGCGTGATGGATTGTAGACTCAGAAGTAAACACCCACTGGTATGATTGGCTAACAGCTGTGTATGTTTGACAGCATACATTCCTCATACATGGATGCTGCAGTGATTTAGGTTAAAAATGCATAAATACTCAGTACATATCAAACGATCTGTAATAACAGACAAAGCAATAGTGATCACGTAATAAAAAGTTACTCACACTTATGTGTTGCGACAATACTGTTGGATCCAATATACTCGAGAACTGAGTACTTACTGACGCGGTCTGGATCTTCATTAAAAATAAAGTTCATCCATTCTTTCCTAATGCTGGGATCAGAAGGAAGGCAACTCAAATAGCCTATTACTTCTAACTGATGATGATGTTTTTGATGCAAAAATCTTGTTAAAATTATAAGTGGACCTCTTTATAAGTTCATGACACCTTTAAACTGAATATAATGCACCAATTTTGAATATACGGAAGTGCAAATGAGGTATGAATGCTGCATCAGAGGCAAAAGTATTCAGTAAATTTCAACATTTCGAATCTGGGCAGCCTCTGGTAACTATATACGTTCAACATATGGAAATGAGCAACATTCAAATTCCCCCTTTTACTTAAAGGAAGAAAGGCACATGTGTTTGTAACAACATGAGGGTGCAACATTTTGCAAAGTAGCCAACGCAAAGTGAATCTCACACTGCAAATCACTCACCGTTGTGCTGAGACAGCGACCACAAACTGTACTACGAAATTCTCCGAATGACTGCCGAGCTGCACTGGTGGTGTAAAAGCCTTCAGCCAGCAGGACTATACAGTACAGGAAGAAGAAGGAGGCCAGACCATAGATGATGTACTGAAAATACTCAATACTACAGGAGAGAGAGAAAGACATGTTTGTAATAGAAAGATGTTTAAAATGACTGATCGTCCAAAGTATAAATTGCCTTTTGACACCTTAAAAAGCTTTATTCAAACATGTCATTTCATATAATTTTTTATTGTGAAGCTTGAGATTATGGGTAAATAAACTAAAAACAATTGAAGTAGATTAATCTGGATTGAACATCAATTATGTGGGAGATGCTATTGGCACTCACAGGTACGCTAGAGTGATGTAGTCCTGATGGTCACGGGTGAAGTAAGTCTCGATAAGCCTTTCACTCTCTGTCAGGGCCTGATGTCCACAGCCGCAGAACAGAGCAATGCCAGAGAAACACAGCAGAGTGGCCACCAGAGAGACGTACGGCACTCCTCCCAGACAGCGCATACAGCATTCATAACAACCTGAGATTCATAACAAAAGCATATGAAGCATATCAGACATTTAAAAAAAATGAAAATAATACATGCCACAAGGCTCTGTATTAGGCCCTCTGCTGTTTTCCTTATACATGCAGCCAAATATTATTGGGAAACACCAAACACGATTAACTTACACTTATGCTGATCATACTTAGCTCTACATTTCTTCAAGACAAGATGACATTTCTAAATGATCTAAGTTAACAGTTTATTCTTTTAAGTCCTGCATGTTATATTGGACAGCAACTCTCTTCTCTCGAGTCACAACCTTCCACCTTCTACCACCAACAAGTTATCTATTTCTGATGCTGAAACATTCATGCATTCATGGCCGCAAGACTCGATTATTAAAATGCATTACCTGGTGGCTGTAAAAACACATCAAAATGCGGCTGGCAAGAGCTCTTACCGGGTCCAGAAAATTTGATCATATCAACCCAATTTGATCACATCTACAGTGGCATCTCTAAGTCCTGCATCAAGTATAAAATATTGCTATTAACTCATAAGTCCTTAAACACATTATAGGTCCCACTAAAGAGGATTACAGATTTTTTTTTGCATTTGGCATCTAAACTCTTGATTAACCTTCCTGAAAATGCTTTTAGATTAAGTACAGATCTCTTCAGCCAAGCTTTCACACAACACTTTCATAACCTAGTACTGCAGCCATGTCTGATAAAATCTAAACAAATATATATATATATACAGTGGGTACGGAAAGTATTCAGACCCCCTTAAATTTTTCACTCTTTGTTATATTGCAGCCATTTGCTAAAATCATTTAAGTTCATTTTTTTCCTCATTAATGTACACACAGCACCCCATATTGACAGAAAAACACAGCATTGTTGACATTTTTGCAGATTTATTAAAAAAGAAAAACTGAAATATCACATGGTCCTAAGTATTCAGACCCTTTGCTCAGTATTTAGTAGAAGCACCCTTTTGATCTAATACAGCCATGAGTCTTTTTGGGAAAGATGCAACAAGTTTGTCACACCTGGATTTGGGGATCCTCTGCCATCCCTCCTTGCAGATCCTCTCCAGTTCGGTCAGGTTGGATGGTAAACGTTGGTGAACAGCCATTTTTAGGTCTCTCCAGAGATGCTCAATTGGGTTTAAGTCAGGGCTCTGGCTGGACTATTCAAGAACAGTCACAGAGTTGTTGTGAAGCCACTCCTTCGTTATTTTAGCTGTGTGCTTAGGGTCATTGTCTTGTTGGAAGATAAACCCTGTATACACACACACGCACAATTAATTATCACCAAAATAGCTCCTTGCCATGAAACATTAATAAAAGTTTCAGCAGCAATGAGAAAGTCACTAAATTTGGTGTCAAAATTCCCAAGAGTGTAAAAGTTTCTGGAGCACTGGTGCTATAGACTCCCCAAGATAGTTAGGCTAGTATAATTAGTAGTGTCTGCTAAGTGAAGCATTTATACGGTTGCTCATAGTTAGTCATTTAAACAAACCAATGACCATAAGAATTCAACATTGGTGTAGGAAATAACCACTTTGAAAGCACAACCAACACTCCAGCATCATGGTTCTCACTTCTCACATTTTCAACAGAAAAACATAAATATCGAGTTTATTTATACTGTTGTTGACTAAGGAGAAGCTTCTCAAAACAGAAGCCTGTTTCGCAGTTGTTTTGGCGCTGGGAACCAGTTTCATGCACACCATGAAATTCATCACGTGCACACCATTTTTGTAACAATATACACTGCAAACAGTGCTTATTCAAATCCAAAACAATTTAACAAGCTCATACTGTCATAGACGTCTATTCACAATCCATTCACATGTGCCAAATCCGAAACACTGCAACGTGCCATTGCAACAAAGCGGCAGCTGCAGCTAAGTGTGTAAGTCTGGGTGGACCGGTGCAAGTGGGCATTCTTCCTCCATCCGTATCATGTGCTGCTGTGGGGGCGGGCGACGGAGCTGGTCTGTACCACGGCATGAAGAGTGTGAGAAAATAAGGAGGACCAAGAGCCAGAGTGTCTTTTTGTGGCTGCACTGACAATAGCCTTTGTCTCGATGCAACACGAGGGCCAGCAATGACAAGCAAACAAAGAGCCGGTGCCACCTCAGCCCCCTACAGACCGACTGAAATTAGTTTAGAGGAGGAACGACAGTGAATAAAGAGGGGGGAGATTTGGGATGGAGTGCATCGACGGAATGCTGATGGTGAAAATCCCCTTGGGGTCAAACTTTTTGATTTATATAAACAGAGGAATATCTGGTCATCATTTTAGTAAATTTTTCTAATTAACAATACTTTTTAATGTACTGCAACTCAGCAGTAGCATGTTATATAAAGTTAAGTGCATCACAACTGGAGTAACGGCTGCTGAAAATTCAGCTTTGCCATCAAAGGAATTATTTACACTTTAAGAAATGTTACACTTTAAATAGAAAACGTTATATTAAACCGTATTTTATTGCAGTTTTGATCCAATAAATGCAGCTTTGATGAAAATAATACTCTTCTTTCAAAAATTGCATGTTTGCATGAACTGCATGTAAACCTAAAAGGAGAATGAGTCATAGTCGGTTAAAAAAAAAGTCTTAAAATTTCAAAACATAAATAATAAATACTGTTCAAAATGAAGACAAAAAGAGACACTGTGGATGTGAAACAATAGTGAATCATGTTCATAGTTAAAGTGATGATCGACACCTGTGGTTTCTCTAAAAATCCTCTAAACACTAGACGATTAAAAGCCACCGAGCTAAACAATGAATACAAGCAAAGCTAGTTCTGAGAAAAGCTCCTGCATTTCACTGCAGATGATAATTGCTGGGATGTTAATTATCAACTGCAGTGATACACTTTCAAATACTGTATGTAGCACTGCAACATACAGTATATGCAAGAATATCACACTGTCCCTTCATATGTAAAGCTCAGCTTTCTTTGCACTAGTTTATCAAGCTACAGGTCAAATTAAAAACATTTTTCTAATTATATACAGAATTGCTTAAAAACTTCCTTTTAAACCAGTAGAAATGTTGCTCTTACCCATGTCTGCAGGCAGCAGTGATGTGCTGTGCTTCAGTGTTCTGCTGTCTCAGTCTCCTACACAGTGACCACAGCTGAAGACAGACTCAATGTGAAACAATGTGTCTTTTCAATGGCCTGCTTGAACGGTTCAAGGAGCAGACTGACGGGGTCATGATGCAAAAACATACCAAAATGTTCACTCATTTGAAGTGCCACTGATTTGCTTTTAGATGCAAAGAGTTTGTTAAAGAGTTGCAGGCCACTTTTAGCTCATTTATAAACAAGTGAGAAATTATCTCAATTCTATGATCAAGTCGGTTGAGGGATTTTAAAGGTTTGTAGTTTTATTTACTGAAACTGTAGTGTGATACAAGTTTATCTTATGTAGAACTAAAAACTGTAACTAAAAAAAGGTACCGCTAATGAGCTAAAATCTTGCTCTCTGTGGATCCATGCCACTTACAACTCACTGCTAACCTCTAGTGTTCACACGCATAGCTCGTGGGAACGTGACATTTTGGACCAAAGTATTTTCAAAGTATCTTTCAAAATACCAAGTAAATATATACCAAACAGTCTCTCACTCTCTGTCTCTGGACTCCGCTTCGTCCACGGATCAGCTCTAGGCATGACGAAGCGATATCGTCCTCTTTTGGAAGACCAAACAAAGTAGTTTCGCTTTCACAACGAATCACACAGCGTCTTCAGGACATGGCGGCGGCGGCAACAACAATACTACAGCGAGAATAAAAGTTATGCATTCTTTCTTTGCGTGAACATTTGGGCGGCTTTATGCAAACCTTCCCACATAGTGAGGTAGACATGTGGGGGCGTTTTAGAACGAGCCGTTTTAGGTAGGCGTGGCTGACTCTTAACTTTTATAAAGAATATCTCTTTGGATTTGAGACTTTAGTCTTTGCAACTTTACAGATCTTCTTTATGCACCAAGAGCTTGTAACACTCCAAAGAGAAAGGAAAAACTGAAATCGCATCATATGACCCCTTTAAAAAATCTTTCTACTGACTCACTGACTTACAACATGAAATAAGTGATGATTCTGTTCTTATTAACTGTTTAAGTATGTGTAACTCTTTATGATTTTGGAAAATAAAATCTTATGTATTTGAGCTATTACTAATTACTGGGACAGATCAAAAGTGTACAAACTATAGAAATGATTTAACACGCTATTCAGTATTTATCTTGCATTGGCTGTAAAAAGTGGAAGGATCAAAAACAGAGGCATTTAAGAAAGATGACCAGGAATGGATATTGATGCCATTTGAGGCATCTATGAAGCATCTTTGTAACCTGTATGTAGAAACATGCCAGTGTTTTCTCACAAGATTAAGTTCTTCTTTGCTATTCAGGAAGTGCATTCGTGTTCCACCTGCGCTCAGCAGACCTGCCTAAACATGCTTTTTCTTTTGTATCATTTACAAAACCCCTATCATGTTTGCTATAAGAAAACTCGGTGCCAGAGCATATGAACCTCCTCAGCTTTAATCAGTACGGTGGGCGGCACAGGCACTGAAGTGGTCGGGCCTGTTTTATCTGAGTTTTCTCTCGAAAATTATCTAACATCCACATTCTTGTCCAGATCACCTGCTTTCAACAGAGAATCATTTAAAGTTTCCTCATTCCTTGTGTACAAGTTTAATGAGTCTCCGAACATCCTGAATGTGGTGAGAAAGGGACTATTGGATGGCAGGACACTTGCTGGTATGAGATGTGTGATATCAAGCATCTGTCTGCCAACATTTACTACAAACCCTTGAGATTTTTATCACAGTTCTCAGGAGAGTTTTCACAGCATCAGCTATCAAAAGGGTTTGGAATGTAAATGTGAAACCATCTGTTGATTGCACATAACCATTAGTTACAAAAAGGGCATTAGGGTTTATTTGACCTTGAAGTCAACATGAAACAGCGTTTGCAATGACATTATTTGAGTGAAGCATAATCTTCATAGGGAAAGAGAGAGAGAGAGAAAAGTGATTGATTGGAAAAGTGGCCGTTCTATACTTTGGAAGCCTTACCATTATGCAAAGAAAATATATTTCCTTATATATAACAATCAATATATTTATTTAATGTACCTCTGAAATATACAGAATGATATATTTATTCACTATATTACAACATGTTGAATAATACATAAGGAATCACATATGGAATTTTTCACATATATGTGAATATGTGACTATGCTTACTTATATATTATAATGTATGTAATACATTATTTAATGATACACTTCATATGTACATGTAAATAATCACATTTATATGTGCAATATATGTACACAATCATGAATATATATTATTTATTTATTTTTGTCAGGGTAAGATATTAAGGTTGAAGGTTCAAGTTCTATATATATACATCTTATAGAATTTATAATCTGTTCTTTATTTATTATAAGCTATTTGGCTTTTATTTTGGTTAGCATTAACTAATAGTTTAATAAATTGTGCACAAAAAAAATATCAAATAGGCTTGATGTCATTTCTTGAACTCTATATAAAAGAGATATGGTTTTGTTTCAACTGCTTTGTACAAAAATATTTTCTTTTTTGAAAATATATACCAGCAGGACTGTTAGAGCTAGGTGACAGTACTGACTGGCTGTGTGCATCAGACTAAAAGCTTGTAAAACCAACACAACAGCTCACTAGAGGAGAAACATGAGAACAAATCAAACAAGTGGATTTTTCTTTCTGCAAGACTGCACCTGTATACATATTTTCATTCCTTTTCACTGAATGTCACACCATTGCTGGCAGAAAATTAAATGTACATTGTCCTTAAAGGGTTAGTTCACCCAAAAATGAAAATTAGCCTGTGCTAAAAAGTGGAAGGATCAAAAACAGAGGCATTTAAGAAAGATGACCAGGAATGGATATTGATGCCATTTGAGGCATCTATGAAGCATCTTTGTAACCTGTATGTAGAAACATGCCAGTGTTTTCTCACAAGATTAAGTTCTTCTTTGCTATTCAGGAAGTGCATTTGTGTTCCACCTGCGCTCAGCAGACCTGCCTAAACATGCTTTTTCTTTTGTATCATTTACAAAACCCCTAGGTGACAGTACTGACTGGCTGTGTGCATCAGACTAAAAGCTTGTAAAACCAACACAACAGCTCACTAGAGGAGAAACATGAGAACAAATCAAACAAGTGTATTTTTCTTTCTGCAAGACTGCACCTGTATACATATTTTCATTCCTTTTCACTGAATGTCACACCATTGCTGGCAGAAAATTAAATGTACATTGTCCTTAAAGGGTTAGTTCACCCAAAAATGAAAATTAGCCTGTGTTTTACTCACCCTCGAAGCATCCTATAGGTGTATGTGACTTTCTTCTTTCAGACGAATCCAATCGGAGTTATATTAAAAATTGTCCTGGCCCCTCCAAGCCTTTCAGTGGGGGTAAGCGGGTGTTGGTTGTCAACAGTTCAGAAGACGTGAAATAAAGTGCGTGCATCCGTAATAAAACGTCCCTCACACGGCTCCGGGGGGTGAATAAAGGCCTCCTGTAGCGAATCCATACGTTTTTGTAAGATAAATATCCATATTTCAAACGTAATAAACATTTTTCTCTCACTTCCAGTATTCTGTCATATGCGGAAGGCGTTCCGGCGGATGACGTAAGACGTAGGCGTTGCGTGATTAGTGACGAGCGCGGAGAGAGAACAAAACAAAACGCCGTTCTCGAATTAGACGAGGATTTGTAAAGAAAAATGTGGGAGGATTTCGATATAAGCCAAGAGGAGACTGGTTTTCCTTTGCTAAAGTAAGGTAACTTTGTTTCCTTTGCTCCTGCATTTCTCAGAGGCGCGCGCACGACGCATACGTCTTACGTCATCCGCCTGCATGTCTTCCGCATATCACAGTCAGCGGAAGTGAGAGAAAAGTGTTTATTACGTTTGAAATATGGATATTTATCTATACAAAAACGTATGGATTTGCTACAGGCCTCCTTTATTCACCCCCCGGAGCCATGTGAGGAGCATTTTATTACGGATGCACGCACTTTATTTCATGTCTTCTGAACTGTTGACAACCAACACCCGCTTACCCTCATTGAAAGGCTTGGAGGGGCCAGGACAATTTTTTATATAACTCCGATTGGATTCGTCTGAAAGAAGAAAGTCACATACACCTAGGATGCTTTGAGGGTGAGTAAAACACAGGCTAATTTTCAATTTTGGGTGAACTAACACTTTAAGTGCATTAATCTCTTTAAATATTTTAAAAAAAAAAGATTTTAAGAGTTTATTTGTTTTAACTTTATGTAAGATGAAAACACATCATCATAGGAAAAGAAAGCAGGTATCTTACACATTAGGCCAGACTAATACTACTACAGTATATTACTATTACAATACTAACAAAAAGTACTAGGCAAAGAATATTATTTGCAGGTTATAAAAAAGCTTTTGTAATATTTACACAAACATTTTATTGGTGTATCTGCTGAGCCTTCGCTTTAGTTCAAAGGTTTCAGTTCACAGAGATTTCCAGTTTCCCATACATTCTTTTGTTTGACTTTCCTTTTTGTCTTTCTGTGCTTCATAAACACCACTACGACCGCCAGGAGAACACAGACTGAGATGACCATCAGACACAGGCCACAATAAAAAATAAGCCAGGCATTTGATTCACACCTGCAGTCTTTGACAGGCATTGGAGGAGGCAGTCGTGGCGGCGAGTAATCCGGAACGGCATTCACGTGACATGTTTCCAACGTCTCGTTGACAAGCAGGTGGACCCACACGGTGGTCTGCAGCGGGTCTGGCTTTCCTCCGTCGCGAACGACTATGCAGAGCTGGTGCATGCCGTAGTCCTCGCCGCTCAGGTGCTGGACCAGAGTAATGTTTCCTGAGTGCTGGTCAATCTGGAAGGGGCTGTGTAGAGGCGGTTTGGATGCAATAATTTGGTAAGTGATATCCGAATTCATTCCTGAGTCCTCATCAATGGCGAAAATCTTTGTTATCATGCTTCCTGCTCGAGTAGCTGGGGATATGGTCAGACAGGAGAGGTTGCTGCTAGGAAGAAGGACCTGGGGTTGATTATCATTGACATCCTCAATAAAAATGGTCATTCTTGCTGTAGCGGAAAGGACCGGACTGCCGCCGTCTACGGCTACTACCAGAAGCTCATAGCGGTCTTGCTTCTCGCGGTCGACATCACCAGTACTGCGGAGCGATCCCTGTGCCAGGTCTATGGCAAAAGGGACTTCGTCGTTTAAAATACGCACATCCGCTATCCGGCCGTTCTCTCCTTTATCACTATCACTTGCTGTGACTTTCCCAACTTGGGAAAGTTGTGGAATGCTCTCAGACACGAAGAAATAGAAATGTGGGGTAGGAAAGGCCGGTGGATTATCATTCAGATCCAGTATGTTTACGGACACAATAGCGGAGCCCTCCTGAGACGGTTCGCCGCCGTCCCGGGCCAGAACGATCAGGACGTACGTCTCCTGCTGTTCTCTATCCAAAGTCTCTGCCACCGATATCACACCCATCTCTTCGTCGATTCTGAAAGGTCCTCCATTTGTAAGCCTGTACCTTACTTTGCCAAACCGCTGGCTGTCTGCGTCGCTAGCCTGGACTCTCAGCAGAAACACTCCAGGCTCGTTGTTCTCACTGATGTCCTTTTCATAACGTGTTTGTTCAAACTTTGGGGCATTATCATTCACATCTTCAACAAGCACTTTGATCACTTCCCTTCTGTGTAGGCGTGTGCCACGAGGATCAGAAATAATAACTGTAACCTCATACTCGCTGCACATCTCAAAATCTAGGGGTTTTGATGTTGAAAGCAAATAGCTGCCTGCTTGCGGCTTCAAAGAAAACGGCATGCTGTCTTTTTCTAAGGACAGAGTACCTTTAGCAGTAGAGGTGTCTTCCAGCTCCAAGAGGGCTAAGACGGTGGGGGGCTCATTTTCTTGTAACACGATCACTTGGTGTTTATGCTCGGCGACAAACTTGATCTTTACGGACGGCCCTGGGCTCGTCACTGGCTGCATGTATACGCTTACCTGAGTTTGCTCAGGGGGACAAAGTGGGCTATTCGCAAAGACTTTCAATGCGTGCTCCTCGGGACTGTCAACCTCCGAGTCAACAGCTAAGCTGATCAGGCCTGTGTGTCCATTCAAGTGAAAGAGCGCTTTGGCCCTGTCTGAGATCTGACGGCTGAAGGAGAATGTGATCTGGGCATTTTGGCCCAGGTCTTTGTCTGTGGCTCTAAGCTGGGCCACCGCAGTGCCCTTGACTCCTAACGCTGACACAATGGCTGCGGTGGGACTGTCGGTGTCAAACTCTGGGCAATTGTCATCAACATCGGTTACAGTTACATTGAGATTAGCTGTAGTGCTGAGTGGTACAGAACCTCCGTCTACTGCTACAAGAACCAAGAGGTGGTTTTCCTGAGTTTCCCGGTCCAGTTCTCTTTGTACCACCAGCTCGAGTTCATGCCCGTCTTGTCTGATGCTAAAAAAGCCACCAGAGTCTTCCAAATAGTAACGTATCGCGCCATTATCGCCCGTATCCTTATCCTGGGCTTGGTCATCCAGTGGGAAAGCAGTCCCATTTGATGCATCTTCAGGTATGTGCAGAGGAATCTCATTCCTCTCGAAAATAGGAGCGTTGTCATTAATATCATCCACAATGATTATCATTGGCACGACTTCAAAATTAAGACTCACGACTGCGGTATTTGAAAAAGTACAGTCCCCATCCTGATGTGATGGACACAAGGCCTCTCTGTCTATGCGCTCTTTAGTGAACAGATCCCCTGTGCTCTCGTCCACTCTGATGTATCTTTCATCGAGGAGCCGGTATGGAGCGGAGTAGGTTGTGCTTAGACTTCCGATCTTAACGCCTGCTTCTTGCTCCTCCGGGGTGGTGAAACGCAGGGCACGGCTATGGATTTGCCCAGCAGATGCCAGGAGAAGCACCCACTAAAAAACAACAGAAGAGACTTACTGCTTGGAAGAAAGCAACACCCTTCTTTCCATATGAAAGTTTAACCACTCTGACTCGGGAGTTAAGTATTAAGTGTTTCACTTCTGTTTCAGTTTTTTATAACCATTTCTTACTATGTGTGAGTAAGTTGTTTTTATTTTAGCATGTGTGTTTGGCTCAGTGTTATTTTTTTTAGGATTACTGATAAACTAATGTAGTTTGATTTGTATTAGTTATCTGTTTTAGTTTTAGTTACAGTTGTAGTAATGTTGTAATTTTATTAGTTTTTTATTATGTCTATATAGTTTTTTTATTAAGTTTTAGTTTTATTTAATTTGAGTTATTTCAGTACTTCAACATACAAAATGGAAATTAAATAATATATATATATGGTGGGGCAAGACACATTAATAAAATCCAAGGTACACCAGTAGCTATAACACGGCAGCAGATTTACAATTAGAAGGAGCTTGCTAACAGGTAGGACTGTGGTTACTGATAAATGTATTAATTGGTGCTGAACTACAGGCTTGAATAGTTATGCTTGAAAAATACATCATAAAATTATATCTAGCATATCTAAAATAAAACATAAGATTTATGCCTTGATTGCTGTAAAAATATTATTAGTAATGGGATACCTATTTGTGTCCTTTTCACTGGCGCTTTTTTGGGTATTCGATTTTTTTTGCTTTAAACTTTTAGACATATCTGTTATGTTTATTTGTATCCACCTGTCTATCCACCTGTCTGCCTATTTGAAACAGAGTTTTGAAACGTTTGAAACATGAACACCGCCCGACACGCAGAATATGAATTAAACACAGACTGACTAATGTGGACTTTACCTCCGTTCAACCTCAAAATAAGAAAAGTGAATAATTTTCTTTCTGCAAACATAAATGATGCAGGATCACTGACCTGCAGTATATTCCAGTTCATTATGTGGTGGTTTTGAGCTGTCCATTCTTCAAGAACATGTTGAGCTCTGTGAGCACGAGAAGCACTCTGGCGAAATGTGTTTGGGGGCGGAGCCTCATCTACCTGTGCTACAGGTGAACAGCTCGAGATTACTCACGATATTCAACCGTTGGTTAAAAGGGGAAATACAGGTCTGACGGGATGTTTTTCCGGGTAATTGCTTTATAACAGGGGTGCCCAAACTCAGTCCTGGAGGGCCGGTGTCCTGCAGAGTTTAGCTCCAACTTGCCTCGACACACCTGCCTGGAAGTTTCGAGTATGCCTAGAAAGAGCTTGATTAGCTGGTTCAGGTGTGTTTAATTGGGGTTAGAGCTAAACTGCAGGACACCGGCCCTCCAGGACCGAGTTTGGGCACCCCTGCTTTATAATGATAGATGCGACACGGTGAAGTATTTTTCCCATTTAACTCCAAGCACTATGCGTTAATAATATACACACGCTAAATCATAATAAGAGAGATTATGTAGTAGTTATAGCCTTTCTTTGGAGTTCTTATGGTTCACTTTAGCTTTTCTGAACCATACTGAATTGGAACTATGGATTTTAAACCAAACTGCACAGTTATATTTGTATTATTGCTGTTAAGGTCAGCATCTCATTTGGCTCCTGTCTCAGTGTCGCCATCATGAGGGCAGTGATATTTACATCACATGGCTCTTGTAGTTCATAGTTTAGTGCTCTATTAGTATTTCCTAGCATCAAGGGGGTTTATTGTATTTTATGGTATGTTATAGACTACAGAAAGAAAGAAAGATAATGGATGGATGGACGAAAGAAAGAAAGAAATAATGAATTAATGAATGAATGTGACATGTGTCCAGTTTACAAGTTTACAAAAGGGCAATGAAAAGCAATGAATATTATAAGAATGCTAACTGCCCTTACAAAAAAGTACCATAGTAACCACAGTCACCGCTGAAATACCATAGGTGTTATTAATATACGTTTTATTATACATGTTGTTGCTACATTAAGTTAACTGCAGTAACTTCAAATGGTAACTTTACACCTACTCTCATAAAAACGACAGAAAGGTTAATTTAGTTCATTATAATCAGATACATACTTGTATGTAAACGAGAAAACAATGTATTTGGTGCTTAAAGAGCCACTATATCTTGTGCGGTATTAAAGGTGCATAACTGTGCCCTAAAACAGGGCTGCGTTCAGCCCTGACAAAAACGGTGCAAAACGTGTTTTAAACGGAAACGGTGGTGCGTTGAACACTGTTCTGATGACGCAAGAGTTGCAGCTATGGCGGCTGAGAAGGCCATTCTTTGTGCTCTTCTTGAAGAATTTCCGGAGCCTAATGAAATCGGTATAAATACCTGTTTAATACTGCAAAATACGCTCGATGTTACAGTCACTGCCCTTGCCCTCCAGAAGAAAAGAGAACATCCCAATCGAGTGAAGGGGTTTGTGGAAACTGGTTCATAATTATTGTGATCCAACATTTGCTTCGCATTTCAGGATGAAAAGACAAACATTTCAGGTGAAGGATAATCCACTTCTTACCGCCGAGACTGTGTTATGATCTATATTACATTATTTTTATTGTGAGTATTAGGCTTATCATTATTGCTGATCCCTGTTGGTGTGCTATGATATTGTAATATGTACCATTATATAATCAGAGCGGTATAGAAACGTTTATGAAAGTGTCACTCCACAATACAATAGCAAAATATATAAATATGTATAGTATTTTTATGTTACATTAATCAGTGTCTAGCACACCTTCCTAAGGAAAGGATATGGACCAGAAGACATTGCAATTACTAAATGATATTTAGACAGACTTAAAGAAGTTCCAGATCTATACTTGTGCCCTTATTATTTCAGTTATTTTGCCTTTAATGTAAATAAACATTAATCTTGCTCTTGTGAATTTATTTGGATGTTATTTACATTATGTGAGCTGTCTCTTTAATACCGCGTGGTTTATATACATGTTGCTGCTGATTGGGCTGACATGTTTGACACACCCACCAAACAAGAGAAAACGCATCTCAAACCCCGTTGCACACCGTTTCCAGGAAACATGTCGTTCAAACCAGAAACCGTAGCGAAACGGTGCACACCGCTTTGAGCTTGAACGTGCCCCAGGGTTAAGGCTAGAAGGGATATGTATGGTGCTACTGGGCATGCGCACATCAATACAGCGTCATTTTTGTCACACTGTACAACAATAATTACTCTTTTTTCATTATTGTAAGGGGTAGGTTTAGGGTTGGGGTAGGTGTAGACGTTAATAAAACACAATCTAATAGGTAGAAAATTCATTTCATTGTTTGTTTCCGGTCTGAGCTGTATCCCTTCTAGCCACACAACCCTGAAACAGGGCGAGTAGACCGAAGTGGTCGGAAATTTTTATTTATCTAGTTCCACATGTGACATCATGTGTAGGCGTCAGGGGAAATTTTGCCTCAGACTTTACTGTAACCACGGAGACCACACCGTGCTCTGATTGGTTGGCACATCATGTGCTGGGCGGAGTCAATATACATCGGATGGGAACCCATCATATTAATTTGAGAATCAGTTTCCAGCACTCTTCACACAGAACCACAGGATGTCTACAGCAAACTCTTCAGGTAAACTTTTCTTTGATAAAAAGTCACGTGCCACATTATTTCAAATGTGTTTTTTTTTTCTTTCTTTCTTTGTAAAATGAGAGTAGCTTATTTAAGTTTATTCATTTTATTTATCTGTTTCATACAGTCAGTCATGTAGACATCAGTCATAAATAGTTTAGAATGCGTTTCAGTGTAATTCTAATAGAGGACGTGAATTGTATTAGAGCTGGATCTGGAGCTGGGAGACTTGCTACAGGAGTTTAATGATGTTGTGAAGGAGCTGAGCACACCTCACGCCTCTGAACATGTGCTGGGAGATGTGAAGAGACACACAGCACTGACTGATGGAGACGACTCAGACTACTGTAAGTACACTACCACACACCTCTGAAACATGGCTGTTAAACAGTTTACATATGTCACATTACAGTTTTGTAAGAGTTTAACTTGTACAGTATTGTCAATGAATGCCAAACCTATTGTATCTTCTCAGGCAGCGAAGCTTCGCTGGTAAACAGCTTGAATGCCAGTCAAGAGGAGCTCAACATCCCAAGCATGACTACAGCCCCAAAAGGTATTAACATAACATAACAGATAGCCATCACATTTACTAAACAAGCTAATGGCTTTTCCTATCTGCTCCACGTGCGGCTCTATTTCTATTCTACTCATCTTATTGTAGTCTTTATTTGTGGATTGTACTGCTTTGATGCTCCTCATTTGGCTACAGGATGCATGATAAGCACGAATGCTGGCACGATGGAATTGAATATGATAATGTTGTGAAGTTGGTCAACCAGCACAGACATAAAGTGAAGATCTATATTTGTGTGCCTTACTACTAATTTAGTCGTATTGTAATTTTAATATAATTTAAATATGTTTTCTACAAAAGCGTAAAATTGAGTACATTTAGTTTTGTAAATATGAAAATACATTTCTATACCTCTGATTAATTTTAAACCGCACCCCCTGCTCATTCAAGGATGTCTGTTTATTGTCTGGATGGAGCAAAGGCGAAATGTGTTTAAAATGCGTGTACACAGTTCAGTTGAATTATAACGTTTACCTTTTCAATTGAATGCAAATTAATAAAAACCTTGAATCTTAATCTGAACGTACAACGCAAACAGTTTACCGAAAAGATCAACAATGATAAAAGTAACTATCCCCAGTGTCAAAATCAAGACTACGCCCTTGGTTCATTATGCTTTTTAATAAAGATTGTGTTAAAGCCAGTTGAAAATGTGGCATTTTATTGTGCGTAGGGAATGCAGAGGGTCGCATTTCTTTCGGGCTGGAATGTTCCACAGGAAATACCACGCACTTAGCTGCGTTTCCACAGCGTCTGAAGCATTCCCTTGCACTAACGTCTCTCTCTCTGCTCTTTACAGCCAGGCTCGGGGACACCGGCGACCTACAGAGCTTCATTGAAAACCTGGATAGAGAGCTTGCAGGTATAAACACAGTTTGGTTTGCTTGGTCACATTTAAGGCAGCTTTTGCAGCTCTATCTTTTGAAAGCACGGTGTGCCATAGAATCAGTGCTATGAGAATATTTTATTAATCTAGATCAGAAAAGACGGTCAAAAGCATACCCTATGCAAGGACATGAATGCAGAATGTTTGGCCAACCACAAATGTGCGTTCCCATAGTTCTGTAGCGGAAACAAACCTCAGAACCCGAGCGAGCTATAGACTTAGTCTCTAGATATATAATCGAATATGTTATTTATTAGTAGATAATATAACAGAAAACAATTTGCATTACAGATCAACACCAATTATCCTGTTTTGTCGACTGTGCTCAGCAGTTACTTTTAACTAAAAGTTACTTTTTTTTTTGCATTACAATATCGCGTTACTATGGAAGCCCGTTTCCGCCACTGAATAAAAAAATTAAAAAAAAAGGTTATTGCGACTTTTTATCTCACAATTCTGACTTTTTTCACAGAATTGTGTGATATAAACTCAGAATTGCGAGTTATAAAGTCACAATTGCGAGATAAAAACCCGCAACTCTGACTTTTTGTCTCGCAATTGCGAGTTTATATCACACAATTATGACTTTATATCTCAGAATTGCGAGTTTATATCTCACAATTCGGACTTTTTTTCGCATTATTGCATGATATAAGCTCGCAATTGAGAGTTAAAAAGCCATAATTGTGAGATATAAACTCGCAATTCTGAGATATAAAGTCATAATTGTGTGATATAAACTCGCAATTGCGAGACAAAAAGTCAGAGTTGCGGGTTTTTATCTCGCAATTGTGACTTTAAAAAATAATGCATTACAATATCGCGTTACTATGGAAGCCCGTTTCCGCCACTGAATAAAAAAATTTAAAAAAAGGTTATTGCGACTTTTTATCTCACAATTCTGACTTTTTTCACAGAATTGTGTGATATAAACTCAGAATTGCGAGTTATAAAGTCACAATTGCGAGATAAA